CTTTAATCTTTGCTTTTATTAAATTCTTGGGCAATTCCAACTAAACAAAAATATGTTGTGGTCATTACAGAGTTAAAAAAATTGATTGCCAAATTTTCCTTTTTATTTAGATGAAGGCAGTTTGAAGAATGAACTCGTCATGGGTAATTGAAGAAAAGGAAAAAGAAGAAAAGAAAAAAAAATACTTAGGATTTATTTTACTGTCATATTTAGGAGATAGCAATGTATATTTTTACAATGGATTGTATAATAAAATGAAGATATTGAAAACTGAAGATATAAAGACTAGTATTAGTAGATTTCTAACTTTGTAATGTAATGTTGAAATAATTTTTAATGAGTATGGACAAGGAAATTTTAAGATATCTCTTTCATGTGTAAAAAATGTCTTTATATCTGGGATTATAATTTAAAGGTCGTATTCTTTGATCACAATGGAATATCAATTATAAATACTTGCTTCATCAATGAACTGCATATGAATTGTTGGTGAAAGAAGGCGAATTTTGAAAAAAAATGTATGTACTTACAGACTAACAGTTGTATGTTAAAGTTGTATGTAAATTGAAAATAGGTTGTTTTCTTTGATTGAAAGATTGATTTTTTATGTTTGATTTAGGGTTGTCAAGGCACATTTTGCTAACCAAAAAAGTCGATATACTTATTGTAAGTAATAATAATTTAAATAAAATTGTTTCAAGAGCATTAATTTAAAATATGTAATTTTGCTATTTAATTGTTCATAACATTTTGATGTTGTAGAATGGGTGAAATAGTTTAATTCAAGAAATAAACGGGTGAACATTTGACAACTAAAATGGATAAAAATATAAAAAAATATAATTATCCTTAATGAATATCATAGGAAATATTCCAATGAGTGTTTCTTATCACCTTGCATTCTAATTAAAGTTATTGTGTTTGATAGAAAAAAAATACATAAACCTACTTTTATTTAATATACATTGAAAGTGTATTTTCTCTTAATTCTATTCTTATTAAATATGCTTGTTTACTTGTTATTCGAAGTTTATTGGGTCTTGATCCTGTTTTTTACACACCTTCTTTTTGTTGCATCAATTTAAAAGTTTATCCTTAGCTAATTTTTTCATACAGACTTCATATTTTAATAGTTAGTTCGCCATAAATTCGACTAGTTAATTTGCATATTAATTCAGTTCTTTTCCGTTTAATACTTTGCTTGCTTGCTAATCATCGCTTCTACATCTTTCAAAAACTGTATTTCATTTTTCCTTCAATGTGTTCATTTCTTTGTTCTTTTCTTTTTTGTTCCTTCTTTTTGCTCTTCATTCACATAATAATAGTAATAATAGTTGTTCCTCAAATGAAGAAAAAAGAAGAGAAGTGCTTTTAATTTGCATCAGCATAAGTAAGTATTAAGCATTATTAAAATAGAATTAGGGAGTTTATACCAATTTGGTTTTTGGGCAAACAATGTCCAATTTTTGTTATATAGACGTTGTAAGTTTTAATTCATTTTATTTATTTACAATTCTTACCACCCTTTAATAATAATATATTTTTTATGAAACCGTAATTTCCTCAGATTTTGCTCTTTTTTCATTAACGTAAATATTCTAAAAAGTAAACTTTGGAATTATTGTTTCAAAATTATCATAAGCATTATTTCCAAAACGAATTGCAGTTTCTCTATTAACAATGCCACTTGACCAGAACAGGTAATGGTTAAAGAAAATAATAACTGTTCAACATTTTTTTAAGTTATAGAAAATCCAAAAAATGTTTCATTACATTTATTTGAAGAGAAAATATTTTCATGTTTTTCCATTTATCAGAACCAAATCGTAACAATAACCATAATAATTTGTTTTCTAATAGCAAGAATTATAACCGAGATAGTAATTATGGAAAAATCTGAAGGAATAAAATAAAAAGTATTTTAATTTAATATGCAAGGAGAGAGGAATTTCTTCAATACAGAGCAAGGACGGACGGGAATCTACCAAAGAAAAACTGCAAATAAGCGTAGTAAAGAACCTTACCATAAAAAATTAATAAATTACGCCAAAGAAACGACCATAAAGTATAACAGAAAGAAGAAAAAACATGCACGTTCTGATATCCGTTCGATGACTGAGGTCTGGCGATGTGGCTCGCAGCATTCGAGTACAGAATTACAAAGCCTTAATAGGTGGCAGCATTATACGACGTTTTGTAAGAGCACTAATAAAAACTGAGGTTTTTTATTCAAGTATTGTCTGTTTATGGACAATATGCAATTGTGTTTGATTTAAAATATAATGACAATCAAAAATCGACTGAAAGTTCTCCAAAAATTGTAGATTGAGATAATATAGAGACCAAAATATCTTCGAAGGACTTGCTAACAGCAGGAGTTGCTAGAACTACGTAAATTAAAATTGATGTATTACTTAGGTACCTACTTTTGTTCATGTCGCCTTTTGCCATTACGGGGTTCTTTAGCAACTGGCCCATCCAAATTATCTTTCCCTTCCACTTTTCTATACTCCACTTCCGGGGAAGGGACCTTGGCTGCAAAAGTGGCCTTGAGACGGATGTTGTCACGTCTAGCAGCAGGCGTGACAGGTCACAGGAAAGATAAGTAGCTCAGCTAGAGTTCGCGGGCACCGCCCTCGAGAGCAATTTGGCGTGACGATTTAAAGGTAAGAGCCTTACGTTAAAAGGTAGGAGTTTGTTAGTTTTAAAGGTAAGCACTGTTATAAAGAAAATAAAATATACACAGGTAAGAATATGAACATCATAAGCAGCGTGCTGTGTTCTTCGGTAAGCTTTGTTGCCTACATTATTTATCGCCACAGCTCGAGCATAGTACAACTAGATTCTGGAGGGGAAATGAGAGCGGAAATAGGGAGAAGATGCTCTGAACAGGTTAGTAGCTCGTTGATCGACCCTGCTACTATTACGACCCCAACTTGGGATAAGCTCACACTCGTCGAAATATAGCCGGATTTGGTGGGCGGCGATCCATACGGTGCGATACAAATGTTTGTCCCCACCCACAACGTGCATCAGGCCGTGCATTGGGTGCCGTTTTGCTCCAAACTTGCGCTATCGCGTGCCGCCGCAGGAGGACGAGAAGAGAATTTGAAAGGTGATTCTTTGTGATCCATGCACTGTTTTTACCCAAACTGCTATGATATTACTACATTAGAGGGATTGAAGCGCCTCCATGTTTACAGCAAATTGAAGACATTTGTTTGGCAGTAAAAGCAGGCAAAAGAGGAGAAACAGAGTATTCTAGTGTTCTGTTTGTCGCTGGTTAAGCCTGATAGGTGCGGGCCAGCGTAATATAAATTCTCTTATCTGTTGTTTCACGACCAAAAACACAATCATTTAAGCGTTATAACAATATGGCAAGGAAACGAATTGAGAAACTTTAAAAACACGTTACTTTCCATGCACTTGGTTTACAGTTATAACAATGGAAGCTGTTGAAATCTTTATTGTAGTTGTCATAACGCCTAAAAGTGAATGTTGTTGCCAATAAGAAGCAAACAAACATTACAAATTTTAGGCGGGCAAACTTGAAAAATGATAATTTGTGGTTTAAACGACTTCTATTTTTCAAAGTTTTATACTGGCCGAATATACTCAAGAAATTTGAATTATTATTATTTCTAAACGCACTATATATTTAAAATAGATACAGCGAAAAGTCAGCAATAAACAATTAATATTGATACAAGAGAAGGCACCTTCATGTTTGGCTGCAAAAAACATGGCGGCTCTAGTTTGTCGAGCGTCACGAAGAGAATGAAAACATAAGGTCGCCATCTATGTAGTATATACCAGGCTCGTTAGTTTCCTCCCGTGGCGAGATTCAAACCTGTGACCTTTCCAAACGAGCCTACAAACGCATTTTGCCTTAGCCATCTCTATAAGGGTTGGCAAAAAATATAGTTGTAATTAAAATATGGTGTGTAGGGATATTGCAGTCTGGTAAACACTATTAATTTTTGCATTCAGTTAATAATAAAGACTTTTTTCATTACAAGAAATCATTAAAAAATGACACCATACGGCCCACAATATAGAGGATTATGACGTATTTGCCGGTTTATGGCTCGAAGAATTTCGTCATCATTCATACAGATACCGATGTGCGAGAAAAGTGGGGTAGACTAGGCGGGTAAGTCGAACAATTTACTACTTCCCCCACAGAAAGTCAATTACCAGTAAGTCAACAGAATTTTTTTCCCAAAATTTAACGTTCGATTCTTTTACGAATCTCTTTGTTTTTTTTCTTTTTTTGTTTAATCGCTTTGGATTGACTCTGACGTTTTTCTTTAATGTTTTCACGTGATAGTCCTTGCTTCAAGAATCTGATACAGCATATCTTTCATTATCTTGCTCAGAAACTAGCTTTCTAATACATACCCTTTCCTCTGCTACTCTTTATCACGCGCCATATAATAACACAATAAGATAATATAATAATCTCTAACTCAATACAACTACTGCCATCGCCTTCATTAATTGCTCATCGTTTTCGAAATAAGCATCCTATAGCCTGATATAATTATTTGTGAATAATAATATGTCTCCGATATGAGTTTTTCGCTATCTCTCCCTAATGTTCGGCTGTATCCACCCCTGGCCACCTTTCTCTACAAAAGTGCTGGTGTCAACCTCTACTAAATTTGTTTACATTGCCATCACACATAGGGGGCATTGAGTTTGGCATAGCCAGTAGAATGCTTACCCAAATTAGGATGAGATCAGTAAGTAATCAAGAATGCTGGTGAACTTGGTTAGCAGTCCAGTGACTGAGAGGACACTTGAGCACCCAGCAGTGAAACAAACTGGTTAGCTTAGAGAGCAGTTCAATAGAATTGTGAGGTCGATGTTTATACACCTTGCATCACAGCGCAGTGGTAAATATTTCGAGCTGCACACTCACATTTACTGCACTTCACAATTGTTAGTTTTGGTATTTTTCTGGTATCTCTATGGACACTTAAAGAAAAAAACATGAATATTGCTTAATTGTTTTTATTGTAGTAGCAGAGAATTCAATAAAATCCATTTGCTACTATTCCAAAAGTACACTTCTTTTTTGTAGCTCTCAGTGTTTATAAGGCATCAAAAAATAGAAACAATAAATTAGAGAATACACAGTACACTCAACAGCACCTGTATCAGGTAAAATGCAGTCATGAGGCCAATAAGTTACTAGTTGCATGTACTGACGAGAGTAAAATGGTTAACAAGAAATTTGTTCCATTAAGAAATATAAAAATTAAATAGCAATAAAACCAAATACAATAGCGCTGATTTGAAGGAATGTATTAACAAATGTAAACTGTTTCATAAAACTAGTAGGGCTCTCAGTATCATGGAGACCATGCCTCTTTTGCTTAGTATGAATCTAATAACTTTCTTCTTTATATTTTAGGAATAATTTACTGTGGTTTGATTTCTTTGGTATAAAGAAATCTTAAAATTACGACTAATTATAAATGGACTTTTCTAGAATATTCATAACTTATGATGAACACAAAAAAGGTAAGTAAAATATTGTGATCATAAGATGAACTTCTTTAGGACAAGACAAGAACACACAAATGGGACAACCACTAGATCCAACACAATAAACAGGGGTTAGAGATCAGTCAGTAGTCATCAATATCTCCATCGCTCCCATCACGACTGTGTAGCACTGGTGCTCTAGGTGAAACACGTGGGACTGCTGAGGAAGATCGTATCCTGCATCAAAAAAAAACAAACATTATTTCTGAAACATACCTGCATACATGAATGTTTTTGCCACATTTGCAGCACTTTTTACACGATGAGACTTTAAATTAGAATGTACTTGAAAATGAAGTAATTGCATTCACACAGGCAGACCACAACTAAAAGATAATTTTCTAGCAACTATCTTGAGCCAATATTACCGACTGAACATTCCCAGAATCCCATATATTTTTCTTTAAGAGGATATAAATGACTTTAAAAAAATTGAAGTATCAAAATAGGAAAGAAGTAAAGAAACCACAATGCAAAACCTACCAGTGAGGGTTTGTGAAATTCGTGACAATCTCATTTAGATACTATTAAAAAAGTGTTCTATTTTAGAAAATTGTATAAAAAAATAAGGAGTCATGAAATAAAAAGCAAGAGAATGAAAGATGGAGAAGAAAAGCGTAAGAGCCTTCTCTGCTCCCACCGTCAGGATATGGACTGACCCATCTCGACAACGTTAGCGTTGGATGATAAGGATCACGTAGTAATAATAATAATAATAATAATAATAATAATAAAAATAATAATAATAATTATTATTATTATTATTATTATAATTATAATATTTTTTCCAATATGGACTGCTGGAATCGTGGGAAAAGTGAAGTGTACTAAGTTGTCATTCCAGTGTTGTTAAAGCAACAATGGACAATTTGTTTGGCGTATATGCTTGGCGAATATTTTCTCATCATTTCTTACCAAAACCCCTCATTTCCATTTGTATTCAGAATTCAAGTTGTTCTGGGTTAGGGTAGCATACCTAGAATTTAAGGAAACTTGTAGAGAATGCACTTCTCCCCATAGTACGTCACACAGTTATAACTTAAAAAACTAGTATGCCTACGTACAAAACATGCAAACATATAAGAAAAAATGCATTTTTAAAATGAATTTGTCAAGAAAGATACATTTACAAAGTTTGGAAGCTCTACAAAGTTTAAATAAAAATAAACATTAGCATGCAAATCTTGTCTCTTCTTATTGCAAATTGTGGAACATTAGGTACGAAAAACAATTCTTGTTAAGTTAATATATAAACATGCATGCCACAATTGAAACTGGGTTTCATACAGCTACATGACCCAACAATGAGAAGGAATTCTCACAATGTCCAACTTGTGCCAGCGCGAAATGCCTCTGTCACATTCAAAACTGATATTTCTCAAGGGTAACAAATGGATCGTGGAAAATTAAAATTTGCAAATTTGAACATCAGCTCACTAAAAAGTTCATGTACAATTTAAAAAAATTAAAAATGAATAGTTTTCATGTAGCTTCTGGTTGGAATTAATGCAAATCACAAAAAGAACATTTTTCTTAAAAACTGTTCAATTTTTTTTCCATATATAAAAAAGAGACACTTTAAAGAATGGTCTAGGTCTCATCTTCTTTGATCTCTCTGAATTTTCCAAAATTGTGTGCTGACAAAATTGGGTGGAAACAAGACTTGAGCGTTTCCAAGGTGCAGGAATAAGGCGCACGGCGAGTGAACGTTGGAGGACCTGAGTTCGAGTCTCGGTGAGGGAAAAATCGAAATTCAAACTTGCAGGGTCTCAAGTTCCTTTAAATAGTTTGGGGAATATCAATTTTGGCTGTCAATCCTAGGTGCTAGGATTGACAAAAAGGGACGGACAGATTTCAGTTTTGGAGAAAGTATTAACAATATATCCACTTTTTCCTTACCAAGGCATGGCAATAAGTTTCTCTGTCGAAAATTTGGCGCAACTTGCAAAGGAATAGTCTTGGTACGATTATCAGATGTTTTCATGGCCTTTCCGCGCCGGATGTGTCATTGCAATCTTTCCCACCCCGCACAACCAATGCACCTGATCAGAATGGACTTAAAGCGTGGGTCCCCTTCATTGTAGTAGATTATTAAACTTCGGCATCGTTGTAAACCTCAGCCCTTCAAAGTATGGTTTCATGCCCTTAAGGATCACAAGTACTTTTGAGACAGTTGAGCTCAAGGGACATGAATTTGGATGGATGGATGGAGAAATGATGAGGGTGTATCAGTGTATCAGAGGGACAGGAGGAGGATAGATGGAGAATGTGGGAAATGAAGGGGGATAGATGACACTCGAATGATGTATCTTAAGCAGTTATCTAGAACATGAGACCTTCTTGATGTTTCTATTACATTTTTGGAAATTTAGTTCGTTTGGGTACCCGCCTCCCCAGCAAGGGTGGGCAGAAAAGTATAGAACCCAAAATAAATTTACAATGAAATTGAAGGGAAAAAATAATCTTTCACAACAAAATTAAAGATGTTTTTTTAAATTCTGTGCAATTTAACCTCAACTAGCAATATTAGAATGATTCTGGTCAAGAGAGACCCTTCCCCCACCAGATCATGCAAATTTAAATTTCCCTTTGATCCTCTCATCATCTAGCAGAGAAAGAAAGAATCACTCAGATCACAAAATAAACAATTTGAATTTTGCTCTCGTAGGTTTGAGTCTCTTTTATATACAGTAAATCTGCAACCTGGGTCAGTCGGCTTTTCTTCTGCTCTGAAGAATTTTCTTGCCATTAAAAATCCATGACTTTGTTCGGGTTTGAACCTCCAAACTTGAGTATAACCACCGAATATGCTAACAGTTTCACCATTAAAGCCATGCGTAACGTAATCATAAATGGAGATAAAGTTGCATACATGGGTGCCAAGAACTAGTAGACCATTTTTTTTTATCAAATTTAAATAAAATAATATGTGATACTTTATTTGGCATGATTGAATTAATTTATTGCAAAATAACCATGTGTTCCTTTAATTTAATGTTATATAGTTTTGTTATGTTTATTTCAGGGTCACACACAGGAACTCACATCGCAAATAATCTTTGTATTATTTTTCTTATACAAAAAACCTGACTAAAAAAAATACTTACTTTCTTATGTAAAGACTTTCCAAAAAACTCACAAACAAGGCATGAAATGAAAAATAAAAGAAAGAAAGCATTCACACAACATGAACATTCAAATTTGAAAAGTAGAACAAAGCCCTCCACTCACAGGGTAACCGAGAACAAGCTGGCTCCCAAGGATCACATTAATGTTGGGGAGTACAATTAGTACGTTGAACTCATGCGGGAGAACCCTCTCTCTTCACTGGAACTATTTCTTTGCTAGGCAGAGGATAACAAATTGGAACATTCACACAGAGCAAAGATGTAATTAACAGTTGTTATTTCCAAAATGTAATGATGAATTTATATATTAGTTGTAACAAATACAAAGGGCATTCGCTAAGTACAGAATATTTTGCCATAAACAGATCCCTATTATAGAAGGATATTACTGCAGAGTACATCCAGTTTACTGTTCATTTCATTATTTTCTTTTAGTTTTCAGACTCACAGAATTTCCAAAGCAGCATTTAGTGAAGTATTAGGCCAGATATCAGCAAAGAAATATAAGCAAGATCATTAGCAGTTTCAAACTTTTAGGGATGATAATCAGCATTATATGGAATTTATGAAACTCAAGGATGCCATTGGTGTTGCCTTTCAATTCAATATATTTTTGAACGAGTTAAAAAATATTAAAAAAATTAAGTGGTGTGCAATAATGTGACTCTAATGTACACTATCATTACTTATTTTTACGAGAAAACATGCTTCCTTTGCCAGTGAGCATAATTTCCATGAAGGTCACATGAAGACCTGGGCACCTACCCTTCCAGCTCTTTGGTGCCTCAAGTCTTGTGCTTGATGCCTTCCGAACAACTATTGAGCCATTCCTATTTCTCCTGCTGTTTTTTGCCTAAGTGCTTGTGGTTTTGTCAAAAATTTCAATTTTTTATGCTTTTCTTATTTTCAACCAACAAAACTCTTCACTTTACTACTTCAAAAAGTTACATGATGATGCATGAACCACTTATCCTTACTGTTGCAGACTTCTGAACAATTTATAAGTCATGCAATGTGAATTTTGAAATGGTTGAAAAACAATACTTAAGCACTTTTCATTCTTCTTTATACTAGTATATACTCTTATATGTCAGTTAACAATGCAGCAAAATGCATCAATTTTGATAGATTGACATAAGTATGCATTTTGGGGTCAATGACATAGAAAAAGCGTTTATATCTAAGTCTATCGCTCAGCCTGTGATCTGCCTAGTGCCACAGCCATGCAGGTGATTTTCTCCAAAACAAGAGTTCTTCAACAAACTGGTTGAACTCAAGAGCCTGGGAATTTCAAAAGGATCCTTTACTTTCTTGTGGCTCTTCATTTGAAGTCCACCAGACCTTTAAAATTTGCTCCAAACTAGTACTATGGGAGTGACTAACCTAATGGGGTCACCTTGGGGTCACTAATGTAATATGACCCCAAAAAAGGTCTGTGCCATTAGCTATAATGCAATGTTTGTTTATTTAATGCCAAAAAAAGCATTTAAAACAATATGTCATGTACTATGAGGAAATATTTGCATCATCACTTTTCAAATACTTGATCAATCGTAACAATAAAGGCTCCCCTCCCCCCAAAAAAAAAAAACATTTTCCCTGGGTGATATATGAACTCAATAGCATATGTTTACAAGTGTAACAGGCTAACTCCTAGCCTGTTGGAATTTCAATATGCAACTAAGAATAATATAACATTTTTTTAACTTTTTAATTTTATGTACAACACTGTACTGTGGCTGTATTAATTTTGACTTGTATTATATTCCAACACTTTTCATTTGAACATTTTTTAGATAACTTTATGATGAGGTCATATACTCAAAACAATTAATGTGTACCACAGAGATGAGTAAATAAATACAGTTTATTAATCATACTGATTGACTCACATTAAAAGAAACCTTAACTTACTACAACACTTTCTCTGTATCATATATACATTAAAATTAAAAACAATCACAAAAATGTGTAAAGGTGTTTTGAGCCTGTACAAACTACAATGTGTCTTGTTGAAGGTGGCCGATTTCCTATTGTAATGTTTATGCTAAAAAATTAATTGTACATAATATGTAAATAAGTAAGCAACACCAACTGTAATTACACCGGGTAATTATGTACTCTATACTTTTCAAATGACCTATGTAATGTTTGTTATTCAAGAGGAGTTATTTTAACCATACCTTGAATGCAGGTGTTCGACTTGCAACTGTAAACTTTCCAATTGTTCTTGAAGTTCTTCATTTGTTCGTTGTAATTTCCTGTACAAAGGATAATTTGTCAAGTCAGAAAACAAATTCCTTCCCTTTCTAAAACATTTCTTACTTTCAAATGTACTTTTCTCCAAGTTCTACATCAAATCATAAAAATGAAATAACCACAAGTTTTAAAACTTTATTTTTATTTGATACAGTCTAGGTGCACTTCTACTTTTATTAAAGCTGTAATTTTTAAACAATATAGGAATGTACACAATATTGAAATTACAGATTGCTGATAAAGATTTAATACTGACAAAAATTAAGTCCAAGAAAATTAATAGGTGCAACTGAAACTATCTATCTTCACCATTGAAGACATTAAACGCTCAGCCAGAAAGACAGTTAAAGATATTACTAATCTAATGAAGACCAGAATTGAATCAATGATTGTTTTGAAACAATCATTACAGGTGTGGTAAGATTAGTACCATAGAAAGTTGAAGATGTCTTAATAACAAAAAGAAAAATAGAGGAGAAAGCAGTGCAATATGTACTTCTTATAAAGATAAAAGATACCAGAAGCAGCATGATCACGTATGTATGTTATAAGAAGTTAGTAAACAGACCAAAGATAAGAAGTTAAGAATAAAAAACACAAAATATAATGCAAAAAGGGTCATTTTAGTAGCAGAAGATGCAACTTAAAGATGCAGCAGAAGCTGTTAGAGAGTGTTTGTTTAGATCTCCTCATGTTGAAGAAAAACTAAGTAAAACGTTTTCGCCAAAAATCACTTCTAGAAATATGCATGAGACTGAGATGATGAATGATACACACAAATACAAAACTGAAGGTAACACTCTGGACGAAGACGCTAAAGAAACAAAAGTATTATTTAAAATAGGAAGAGACAATGAAAACTGCTATATAAGAGCAGGATTCTCAGAGTATCCTCTTGACCTTGGAAACATTGCAACAGTCTCTATGCTGACACGGTAAGTTATCCATGCTACTGTACACATATGTGGTGACCATGTGGTGTCTGAACTGCCTAATGTTTGGGCACCCAAAGTCATGTGTGCAGAGAAGTGGGCTTGTGCTCATTGTGCAGGCGAACATAAAGGAGAATGCACAGCCAGTGTGCTCATGCAGCGAATGCTCTCACATTGTGAGAGCTAAAAGGAAGCAATTAGTGATATAAAAGCAATTAGTAATAAGGTCTAGAACTACAATATGCTACCTAAATAGGAATTGCAACAACTGATTATGGTCTACAAAGTCATGGAAAGTCAAATAAATGCTGGATGAGCCATTGCCGCAATGACTGACATCAAAGTAATCTGCAATTTCAAAGACGAGATATAATCCTAGTTCAAGAACTTTATACAGTGAATGGATAGGTTGCTGACTATAAGGACAGTATAGGCAGGAACTTCCAGCAGAAACAATCCAGTAATGTTTGTAAATAATCAGACTTGTCGGGTCTTGGAATTAATGCAATTTGTCATTTAACTTAGTAGTACATGAAGTGTGTCAAAGAAGACATACGTACTGTTTGTGAACAGTTTGAGATGCCAGTTAGGAGTGTCAACAGATCCTCGCCTCTAGTATTCAGGATGAATGTTAATGCTAAGTCCTATGAATGATTTAGTTTTAAACCCGATTCTCATGGAGAATATGTTGAAGACCTCTTTATGTGGAAGAAGTGTTAGATGTGCTAAAGAAACCTGATACAAATGATGAAGTTTTAAAAATAAATGTCAGCATTATGTACCACAAAACCATGACCCCCTACTCCTGTGCAATGCCCTGCAATGTGGCCTCAAAACCCCTGCCCTGCTTACAAAGCATTACATCATTTATCGATGACCCCTAAGCCTTTGAGATAGCAAAAATCACTTCTTCCCACCCCTCCAGTCGCTCTGGACTGTAGTTGTTGCTAAGGTAGAATTTGAACTCGCGTAGAACTACGGAGATTGAGGATGTGTGTATCCCATATCATAAACTTTTGTGTGCAAGTACCCCTTTTCATAGGTTATTGGTAAGTGTTTGTGGAGAGTCTTCGCAAAAATAAACATTACTTAACAAATTTCTAGGAGTTCAAAAATAAATCTTGCAAGTATAGTATCTGGATGTTAAAATAGAGAATATTAGAGCCAAAATAGCTCAGCAAACAGCATTTTCTGACTACCCACATTCACAGGTTCAAACCTGATCGAAGACATGGATTTTTAGAGGCAAAAAAATCCTTTGTACGCCTTCCAATGGAAGAGAAGTACAGCTGGCTGTCCCATGTTGTAGATTTACTGCATGTAAACGATCCTCAAGCCTAAAAGGAGCCTCTGAGAAAAACTCAAATCACACATTTGGTCACCTCCTTTCTCTGCCAGACAAAAGGAACATAGTAGAATTTGTGTGGTCACACAGAAGAGCAGGCATCGTGGCCTCACCATGGAAAATAAGGCATAATTGAATCGAAAATTACCCTACTCCCTCTGATGGGAAATAACTGCCAACTGACACAGCAACAAATACCTTGATATCACCTGGATGAATGTGGAGGTGGTGGGTTGCTCTATGAACAAAGTGCCACAACTTGATGAAAAGTTACAGGTGTGCAACAATGCCCTCAAGGCCATGCAACAGGACAGATTGACATAAAAAATATCTAGAAAAATATCCACAAAACACGAGTGCTAATCAAAAACCGGCTTCCAAGAGCACACATCGGAATATGTATAGATCTGATTAAAAAGCCACTGAATGAGAGCATTAGAGAAACCAAAGATGCTGAGCCAATGACTTTTAAAACAATGCCTGTGACAACTTGGGAAGCAGAACCAAATATAACTCCCTTTTCAGCACAGAGTAGACTGAGATGAATTGCAAGAAGACACCCACACTCAACTGCCACTCAAAGATGGAAACCACATTACCGGGCAACACAAGGAACATAAGAAACTCCTCTTATTAAGCTTCATGTTCCAATCAATATCAACTGCATACACCAGTATGATGCAAAGCCAGCCCTGGCTGCAAGTCTCCTCCACATGCTTCATAAGCCTGCCGAAGGCTCTTCAATTATGATACCAAGACTATACTAAAATAAAAACAAACAAAACAGCATACCTAATATTATTAGTAGCGCTATCCACCTCATCTTCAGCAACTGACAACTCTCTTTTCAGTTCCTCCACTCGTCCTCTCAATCTCTTCACTTCTGCTTCATACTGCTCAGCTCTACGAACAGCATGAGCTAATTCGGTTGACTTATCTTGAAGAACTTTCTTCAATTTGTTATATGAATGTTTTACATCAGCCAATTCCTGTAAAACAGAACATTATTATGAAAATAAAAGGAAGGTAAAGAAATGTGACACTATATTCTTTATTTACTTCATAACGCTTTGAAAATAATACGTTTGGAGACCTTTGGCACAAACATTTTAGAATACCCTTCAAAACCTCCCCACTCATCTCAGTCAGGTTTCCTGTCCAGTTTCCCCTAATTCATTTAACCAATGCTGAGATGGTCTGTTGTTTTGCTTCACAACATAAATGAAGTTTCACAATGCACACATTTTTTGAGCTCAATTCTAAAAGAATTTTATCTACATGTGTAACCAAAAAACTAGTTACTGAATTGCAGTTTTTCGAATGATGTAGCAAAAATGTCTGCGATTGCATACGGGTAGTATGTACTGGTCCATAAAAAAGGCTACATTAGTCACCTCCATGACATGTTTAAATACTGAAAAGAAAATATTAAAGGAAATGCATAGTATTTCTGATCATGAGTATTCTCACATTGCAGTGCAGTTAATTCACTCTTCCTAACATCTCTCAGGGAGATATCTGTACTAAATTTCCTGTATAAAATTATTGTTGCCACCATTCACTGTTATTCAATCAATACATTTTAGAACACTTAGATTTAACTAGGATTAACTATAACTTTGATGATAAATTCCACAAATTCTGCAAAGAATTCTTTGAACAGAATGTGTAATTTGGCCAAAAAGGCTAATAAGGAACACAATAGCAATTTTAATTCAGTTTTTTTGAAGAATGCAAGAAATCTATTACTTCAATTTGAATATATTTCACTGGTATTGAAATTAAATGTAATTCTAATATCCTAGACAGAAAATTATACTTCACTTTTTATAGGTGTGGTGTGTTATCGTTGGCATTTTTCATAAAATAATTATAGACGTTGTCATTGCCAACAATATTATTTAAGAGCAGCTTTCGATGGCTTAGCCATCATCATCAGTTGTCTGCTGGATGGAAGCCACAAAACGACGTCTATAATTAAGTCGACGTCTATAATTATTTCACTTCACTTTTTAACCAATTTAAATTTAATGGTTCAGACAAGAACATGGCCTTATTTTTATTTACATAAGAGTTAAAATGGCACCAAAGTAATATTCAAAATTCCACATTAGGCAACATTTGTGTTTGTTTATATTAAAGTATTATCAGTTATTTTAAAGCACGGTAGATTTGAGTTCAATTGGCTAGAAAATATGATAATGATTCATTCCTTGTCACCACTTTTTCCTTATCTGAATACAATGCATTTTGGGGGTAAATTTACAATTTCTTTTAAAAGCTACTTTGAGGAGCCTCTGAAAATAATAATTGGAAAAATCCTAAATTCGAATTTTTAGAAGTATGTAACTCTCAAGTGGTGCACTGCCACTGATATTTAACATGAAGTAACAACAATGATATTTGTAAAAACACAGAAAAATTAAAAGCATGAGTCAACTTCTTTAAAAAATGTCTCTCTGAAAGTTGAAAACTGTTCATTCACATTTGGTAAGTTGTGGTTGCAAATATTACACAACTAAAAACATATTAAGTAAGTAAATAATACAGTCAATTTGCAGTCCATTTTTAACTGAATCTAATAAATTTTAGTTTAAAAATCGTCACCGTTAGCATCCACTAAGTTACAAAACCATAAATGTCTATAAACACAAAAACACACATAGCTTAAAATAAAAATGTCCACCACTTGTGAACTTTGTACAAGAAAATTAAAAAGTCATTTTCAACAACTAAAACACAAGGGAAAGTATGAAAGGGAATTTATGTGCAAAGTATGAATTTTTCTGAAATGTTCAATTTTTTGATTTCTTGACCACTTAAAAAGGAATGTCACCTAACTATTACTGTTTAAATATAATTATAAACTGATTAATTATTCAATTCTTGCCTAAAATATTAAAAATGTTTTTTTTTTTATTATTTTTCTTCATCATCGCTACATCTATTGATGACCGGACACCTCGCCACTGGTGAAGGTGTGATTCATTAGTTTAAAGGTAGGCTTTTGACTGTTTGTATGAAGAAACATTAACCAATATCATTATTTTTAAATTCTTAACTTATAGTGAGTTACACTAATAAGTTCTTAACATATAATGAAGATATATGAGTAACATGAACTGAATATACAACGTAACTTTGTGTATTTCATCCGGCAGATTTAATACGCAATGTTATAAATAAGCAATTTCATTTGCTCTTGTTGTGGTGGTTTTCTCCTATTTGTGTAGTAGTGACTTGGACTTAAGAGGTTGTGCACTGTCAAATTGAACATCCATCTTTTTTGCTTGTAGAAGAACTTGTCGTTAGATACAGTTTTGGCAAGAATTGCAAAAGCTTATGATGCAAAAGTTCACCTTCTTTCTTTCCTTTCTCATACATATATTTTGCCATTGTATGTGTACTATGGTATGTATTTGGAGTCAACAATGCAATTCTTTCCTCTTCAGTAGCTACTTTGATTTTGACTTTAAAGAGATCACATCTGAGGCATGCAGTTTAGTTTAGTTTTTTAAAACCCAAACTATATTCAAGAAAATATTGCAAGTAAAGTTTTTCCCAATTACCTGCGTGCAAATGACATAAAATAAACAAACTTACAGCAAGAAATCTGGTCTGATTTAAAAAAATAATAGCTTTCATAAAATTAAAAAAGAAAATATTGATTTATCATCCTGTAATTCTTCTGGGTGCAAAACTCATGTCAACTCAAACAACAAAAGAAATTAGTATCAGTATTAGCCCAACACAATCAAATTCATACAATAATCATTTGGGCCCAGATGTTTATGACCTAAAAATATGCAATCATTTATGACTTAAAAAGTATAAAAATAGGACCATAAACATGCCTTGTACCTTAAAAATCTTTCTGCTGTTAAAATAAACTTTTAAAATCTAGCACTTTCACAATTCACCTCTTTTCCTTTGGCATCCTGTAAAGAAAATTCTACTTGCCAAAGTTATTAAATAAATTTTATAAAAGCAGTTGACCTGACAAAACTAAACCAACTCTTCCTACGCATCTGGTGCTTTCAAGGCTTTCTTTTTCTCCTTCAGTATAGCTTACCCTCCTAAATCACAACAACAATTGTAAGAAATTAGATAACAATTAGAAGATACGAAAAGTCCCTTTAAGACTACTGCAAGCAAGTATGCAGAAATGGAATCAAGATAAAAAAATATGATGAAAAAGCATGAAAAATTACGATCATAATATGAAAAATTAATGGAATATGACCAAAGAGTTTAAAAAAAGCTAAAATATTACTCTATTATATTAAATACACATGAAAATTGCATATTTTAGTCATTGTAGATAAATTCATGCTTATATTTTCCATGGAAATAACACTAGGGGAAAAAAAACAAAAAACAAGTCACAAACATCCGGAGTCTAACAATCACAAATAATTCTTGGCCAGGAGTACACAAAAATTGTTATTGATTACAGTTTCAGTATGAGGAGTTAATCTTTTTTGGATAGTTGGTATCCAATACAACAATTGGTACATAAACAATTAACAACATTATTTGGACAGTTATTCTTTCACTTGAATTATCGCAAATATTTGGTTTAGTAGTCTTTAATATTTAGGGTGGCCAAATCCCAAGAAGGAAAGAAAACTCCTTTAACTTCAATATCTCCATTTCACATTAACATGTTTCGTGGCCACACGTACACTGAAAACGTCTTGAAATATCGTTCGCCACTTAACTCTTTATGGCCAAATTTTGAATTACTTCAAAGCACATAGAGAAATAAACCAAAGAAAATACTGATATTCAAAAACTAATAATTTCCTTCACAAAATTAATAATAGAATGTTATAAACAAAAAAGGTGTTTCATTTTAGCCATAAAATATCAAACAGAAAATCATATTCAGTTTTTTATCTGGCCTAATTTTTAATAGATTCATATATCAAACAAAAATCATTGTAATGGTGCTAAATACAAGTCATAGCCTTGAGAACAAGAGCTAATCTTGTATGCAAACAAATTCAGCACATACTTTCTTACCTGCCATTGAAAGTATAACAATAAATATTAAATATCACCCATTTATACATATTTCTTTAGTCATATGTTGAATTCTGCTTGTGATGCAAAGAATAATATAGTTATCAAGCAAACGCATTACCTTTGTGCGATCAGCGAGTTCTTGGGCAAGTTGTTGAAGTTGCCTTGTATCAGCATCAGTCTGTGATGTAGGTCTGCCACGTCTCTCTAACCGTTCCTGAAGATCTCTAAGTTCTGCACGTAGCTTCTTATTGTCTCTTTCCAGAGCCTGCTTGTCTGATTCCAGCCTCTCACGGCGTCCCCACTCTGAAGCATTTTCTGCTTGCAAACGCTCCAGCTAGGAAAGCAGAGAATTATATATTCAACGAACAGTAATACAACTAATTACAGAATATTATCAAGATCCAAATCTTAACACAACATTTCACACAAAACAATGAACCAATTACAGTTATACCGTAAAAATGATAAGGGTAATATAAATAAAACAATAACCTTGTTTTCAATATAGTCTTTTCATATTCACACCTATTTTTTACATCTTGAAATTAGTATTCTAGTACCAGAGGCATTGTTACACAAAAGGGTTATTCATACTTTGACAGACCATTTCATATGCCTACATATTGATAACACTATCCACTGTGGCCAGTAAGTTGCTGTAGTACTGTACAGTTGCTATAGAATTTCTTTCAATAACATGAATTATAATATTCTCTTTGAATACTAAAAAAAAGCAAAGCTATGACCTTTTTTTAAACCATTGGGAATTGATCTTCTTTCCTTTGCCCAAAGCAACCAACCAACCAACCAACCAACAGTTCATTTCTTAGCAGTGAAAAATTAAACTCAGAATTCAAACACTGATTAAACTCACTGAGACTAATCTGCCATTAGTAAAAAACTCAATTACTGCTTGATACCCGAGACTGAATATTGTGCAAAATGACTACACAACAAACTAACCAAGTAGTTGCCCTGTGACCAGAGCAAATTGAATGACAAACAAGGAATGTAAAAAACAAAGTGCCAATATCTGGCATTACAATATTCTATTGATCCTACGGACACAGCAAGAGAGAGGGTAGAAATTGGTGCACTAACTATGTGTTTATTCACTTACACATACGCACACCTTTTAATATCCATGATACATTAAGATATTCACAATATAATGGAAGGTAAATTATTAAATTAGACTTCAAAAACTGTTTCAAATTACACACCCCATCAATCAAATTATACATATTACATTGTTGCATCAATGTTTTCATTTATTACAGTAGCATCTTTCAATAGCTTAGCCATCTGCATCTCATTTCCACATGGAAGTTAAAATTCAATCTCTCTTTCACTCCTTTCTGATTGCAAGTGGTATTAAAAGTAAACAAACTGATAACAAAATTTCCAGAATTTTCCTGAATACTTTCTGCACTTTGATGTACCAGTATGTTCTAGATTTTCAGTTTTTGTGGAAAAGACACCCAGAATGCAAGAAGATCAGAAAGAGAAAACAAGAGTACAATTCTCTCATTTAATATTTAGCAATGTATGTACCTTCACTTTCCCCCCACTAATTACAAACATCTGGAGTGAATATACTAGCAGAATATTTATTCTTAAAAAGTAAAATAACATTTAAATATCAATAATTATTTCCATTTACTTAACAAAACTGAGCATTCAAAATCTATTTTATAACAAAATTCAAAAGTACATTTTACTACAAAAACATTCGACAATTATGACACAATTCAAAAATGCCCATGCTTCAGTGTGAATTTTTAACCAATGAACTAAATAATTAAACATTATTGAACATGTCAACAGATCATTACGTATTATGCCATGCACATGCAGACATTCCAATCAAGTCCCAAATGATGCAAAAAATAGGACTATTTTCTTCCTAATGTAAGTAAAATATATTGCACCTTTAAAAAACATTCCATTGAATTAACTGTTTTCAGAAAATATGGAATAGTTTCCACAAAATTAAACATCAAAGTGAAAACAGATCATTCACAAGAAATTTATGAAAAAATAAGAGAAAAAAATTATCATGACAGAAAAAAATGTAAGCTAAGCTTGCTTAGTGATTTCAGTGTATTGCCCCAAAGAGGTGTGATATGTAATATTGAAGGCAATTAAGCTAAAGCAGCTTTCTGATGCCAAGTATTAGAAGTTTGGTAACTGGAGAGACATCATTGAGAGTTTGAAAGTTGTCACGTCCAACAATTTCATTTATTTCAAATGCTGACTTTAAGAAGACTAGCCACTATCAGCTTCCAAAAGTTGTTGAGTAATCGAATGAAAAAGTTTTAAAAAATAAGACGAAATAAGAAGTGTTGATATATCTTTTTCATTAGAAAATACCATATTTACCTATATATAGTATGATTTCAATACAAATCAACTCTTACTTTTATGCCTTAAAATTAGTTCCCAAAATATAAAATGAAAAAAGGAAATCAGGATTTCTTTGTCAATTATGTACTTGTCAATAATTATATTGGTGGTTATATAATTATATCATACATGGTGATGCTACAGAATGATACAGAGTTTCACTATTTAGTTTTCTAAACACTTTAGTCTGGGATTTTTTTGGTCTTCTCAGCTGCCATCTATTGCTACTGGGGATATTTATTTCACATTTTCTCAATTTTTCACTTCCCTAATGGAAAAACTGAAATACAACTTTAAGAGTCAAATGAATCATCTATTAAACAGCCATGACCACTAAGCCTGCCTCAGCATTTCCGGTTGTTCCTGGCCTACAAGCTTCACCTTTTTCCTCATCCTGCCCTTGTCTTTGACCTTAATGCATGTAAATATAATAAATACTGATTGTTTGGGAGTCAAAGAAAAAATATCCATTTTGTTATTCAGGTAAATAGAGTAGATTTACGTAGTATTACAGTTACATGGTGGACAACACATCAAAAAACCTCTATTTCACTTGTTTTCTTAATCTTCCTTTAAAGATTTTCATCATTACATCTAATCATATTCCTGTAAATTGAACCCTTATGTATTTAAGTAACCTTCATCTGTCCATCACTCATGGTTAGAGCACTTCCCGTCCTTCAATCAACACAAACGAGGTGGTGTTTGATGCTTTTTGGTCTTTTGGAGCAGAACCAATGATTTGTTTTGGGATCCATCCAAAGATTGTAACACATTTCTCCAAAAGTGTGTATTTTTTAGTTTGTAATTTTCACAACTAAAATGTGTTTTCAGCAACTAATGAGCTGATCAACAGCTTAATTTATTTCTCTCAATGAGGCAAACAGAGACGAAAAAACTGTTGTTGTTTTTTTTTTTTTTTGTAATTTCAAGGCACCTACAGTGGTGAAATAATGAATTTTTACAATTACTGTATTTCCCTCATAACATGAATCTAAGTCATGATTCTTAAGGCTGACAATATTTAAATCTAATTTGGTACGAAATATTCATGAAAGAAATACTACTTGTAAATGAATTATAAACATTGAAAAATAATATGCCTAAATGTTTTCATATCATTTGATATTTTAAACAAAATGCTTTCAACAATGAAATTATATTCTGAAATAAATCTATAAAAATGAAATGTTATTTTCTAGAATAGGAGCTTCCAAATGTACAACTTTTCTTTAATAATCTTCCTGATAACACACTGTAAGAACGTACTCTTCAGAACAAGTCAGGAATGTTTGGATTAGGATCTCAAACCTCATATTCTGGAGTGGCTGTAGCCTGAAAGAACAGCCAACAAGAGCTGCGAAAACACATTTTTTGTAACTTTTTATCATTTAGTTTTAATAGATAATTTTTCATGTTATATACTTGACGAGGTGAAACCAGATAACTGTATATTTCAACACTCATTTCATTTTGAAATTTTCAACAAACGAAAATATTACTTTTCGTAGTATAGGCAGTGCAACATTCAGCCAGTATTTTGTAACTAACAATTTTTTCACAAGCTATTTATTCTTGTGTTTCTATTTGAAGCAACTTTAATTTTATTAGTATACTTGTAAGGAAGTAATTACTACAGATGCAAATAAAGCAAATATTTAGACAAAGACTAGAATTATTTTATCTAAGCAAAATCACAATATATTACTTTGTACTTCTCACCAGTCTAACTGTAGTTACAAAGACTATTTTAGAACAAAAGTTTTCATTTTTACAAACTGCAACATTGAACTTATTTAATTCTGGCACATTGTTAAAAAACAGTGATAGCAACAATAAACTCAAAAGAACTTTGCTACTTTTCAAAATGACAATCAGTGGAAGAAGTCATATCAAAATAAAAATCAACTACTTTACCCACACAAAATCAATTACTTTCTACTCCTACATTTGAAAAAAGTATATGTTTCTACTTGTGAAAAAAGAATATTTAATTTCAAGACATAAGGAGCAATAATCACACACAAATATTACCTTATTTTCAAAATGGAGAAATCTTACTCACTAAGGTAACCAGACATCTTTCACACATCTCAGTAGCTGTCTCCATTCTCAAACATTTTAATTGTTCATTTCAAATCAACATTATTTTAGAAACTTTATGTATTGCATATTAACATTAGCAATTCTTTGTTTATGCTCAGATGTAATAAATATATCACATTCAACCTATACCCATTTTTAGGTGAAACTGGAAACAGCACGCTAGGTTTAATATTGGGAACGAGCCTATTTCGAAAGGCATCGCAGTAGTACACCTCACAAACTGGTCATTTGACATTTCACTTTTTAACTTTAACCTCTTCTAAAAACCAAGAGATATTTTAGCTGAGAAACAGACAAAAAAATTAAGAACTTTAAAATGTACTCTTACAAATACTGGAGGCCAACAGGAATAAACATTTAGGTGATATTTATTTCTTATATCCACGTGCCTGCTTCATAGAAAAAATTCCTTAATATGGAAAATCCATGCAGATATAATTATTTCTTAGATATCTTTATAACAGTACAATTTCCATCAATGTACTTTCTACATCTCACCAGACAGACCCCAAGCACATTTTTGATTATAAACGTATTTTGAGTGGATTGCAAAAAAAATTTTGAAGAAAATACACACGAGTACTCTTCGTATGTGAATAAGCATTGTATTTTAAAGTGTTCTAGTTCACAATAAATTCAGACAGTTCAGTATCATAAAACATGTCATAGTTATTATCACACAGTCATTAATACGTAAGTCATTCAATAATGAAAGAGCCACATTGATCTGGAGAAAAAACAGTTGGTAGGACAAGTTTGCTACTTTTAGGGCTTTAAATGTGCATCACAGGGATAAGCCTTGATCATCTAGCAAAGGAGCATTGTTGTGTGAAGTTCAACGATGGCGAGTCATCTTGAAAATTCTACATTTGTTGAACAACATTCAGTGATTTGTTTTTTACTTACTGAAGGTGAAAAAACAACTAAAATATTCTCTAGAATGACTAATGTGCATAGTAAAAGTGAAAGTTGAATATGAACCACAGACATTTTTACAAGTGAGTTGAACAGTTCACAAGTGGTCAAGACTCGGTGACTGACGAACACCTTTCTGGCTTCATCAGTAGGAAAAGTCATGTTGACAGTGTTTTGGGATATTAAAGGTGCAGTGTTTTGTCATTTTCTCGAAGAATAGCATACAATAAACAGCCAATACTACTCAGATATGCTTTCGAACACGATGAAGCCAGCAATAGGGAGAAACTGTGGATCTCAAAGGAGAGGTGTGATTCTCCAGTAAGACAATGCATGTCCTGTGTAACCATCTGATTTCCACTTTTTTGGTACACTGAAGGAGGCATTGCATGGGAAGAAGTTCCAGGATAACCAGGTTGTCAAAATATTTGTGAGAAATTGGTTCAAACACCAAGATTAGAGTTCTTTGCAGCCGGTACAAAAAAAGCTGGTAACCCATTGGGAGAAGTGCATAAATGTTGGTGGGGATTATAATGAAAAGTACGAAAAGAGCTGTGTTGTAAAAATAAACATTTTTTTCTCCAGACTAGTCTCTGTAATTATTGAATGTCCCTTGCTCATTCCCTTAATGAGTCAATATCAATTCTGGAATAAATTTCTTTTCAATTCTGAAACATTTCTCTTCTAAATAATGACACATGCAGAAAGATAACATCCATCATGACATAAAAAGAAGCAATATGCATTAGGACACCAAAAAATATATATATAATATATATAATATATATATATATATATATTTATATATATAATATATATATAATAATATATATATAATATATATAAGTAAAAAAGGAGCTTTTGCAAGCTTAGCAGGAAATACTTCATTTACTCTAATTTTATTAATCTTGTCGCAAAACACCTTTCAACTTCTTAACAAGTAGTTAGATTTAAAATAATGTGTTTAACTTAACCTGGCAAAACTCGTGCCAGCTCTCTCAGATCCAGATCAATTAATCCATAGTTTCTTCAGTAGAAGGCTGGGGGATAAAGATCTGTTGTTCCATACACATACCTTCCTATATTATCCCTAAATATATTATCATCTTTTAAGTAATGACATTTTCCTACCAAGTTTTGAGGAACAAACGTTTTGAAGGGTGCTGGATCCTGCAGACCCACTGTGACCATAGATATATATTTTAATGGAAGTGAATCTTTTGTCGTGAAAAAGATGCAAATGGAATATCTGCTTTTTGAGGGGACCAAAATTGAATAGGTGGAGTAAGCTTTGAAATAGTGAAGATGATTTACAGAAAATGGAAGATAACATCAGTAATGAACACTATAAGTCAGAGGTAGAGAGTCAGTAGGAAGTAGTAGATGTATCAGTAGAAAGACGATTTAATTGAAATGTGTGCTATTTACATTTGTACCAGAAATTCTAAGAAAACTACATTTTGACGAATGTCACTGGTTTTTATTCTTTCATAATATCTAATTGCACTTGAAAGCACATATGTTGCCAGTTTTCAAGAATCTGAGTCTTGTACTTGTTAGAGATAAGCTGACCAATTGTTCAGTATCAAGCATATTGTAATTAAAAAATTTTTAGAGACAGGATAAAGAGGAAAGAAAAACTCAGAATTTTTGCTCATGTTTTTTCTTTTCCTACGAGCACATTTCAGTTTTCCGAAAGGAGTGCCTGAGCAAAGATTTATAACAGAGGTGTGCAACTTGCAAGGCCTTAAGGGCCGCCAATTAAAACCTTTAATATGGTTGGGGACCATATTTACATTACTCAGGCAATCCACACATGACTTCCTCATATTCTTTATCTCCGCAGTTTGCCTAGCTGCTCTGAAAGGGGAGGGAGGAGGAATGGAACCATGAGTGATATCAGGCCGTACCATACATAACGCAGAGAAACACATTGGGATGATTTTGAATTTCTGAATTTACTAGAAAAAAATTCTTAAATCTAAACATGAACCTATTTTTACATTAAGGTGGTGTCGACTCAGGCAGGGCATGTGTGCTAGGCAAACTATGTTCTCGTTTGACATGAATGCAAGGGACGTTTTACTTTTAACTAATAACTTTTCACAGGCTTCAATACATAGCACAGTAGGCCAGGTGTGGCTGTCCGCTGCCAATTGGACAGCCCTAATATATAATGTCTCCATAATAAATATTAATAAAAATTCCTTTGAGTATACTTTTAGCAATAGATACAGAATGTATTTCCATTAGTAAGTTGAAGTGTTTATTAACATCGGTCCAGATTTGCTACAATATTACAAATCACTACTGATTTTACACACACATGTACTAAAGTTACTTTCAATTTATGCAATTTCTCTGTATTGATATGTAATCAGTGCACTTCAAATACTATAAAAATGATGTATTTATTTACCATATACACAATTCCCTTAATTCTCCTAAAAAAAAAAAAATCCTAGGTCTCACTGACACGAGTATTCCTGTTTGAAAATTCAGTACGAGATCTGCCCGGTTAAGGAGCATTCTAATACTAAATGGTTCCAAGGGAACTACAAGCACACTAAACATTTTAAGTTTTAAAAGTTTGGAAATTTATACACAATACTTTGTTTCTTCTTCTTCATGTTACTATTTTATGTATATTACTCTAAGATACATTTAGAAATACCTGTTGCATAAAAACACATTTCTGTCCCTGCTGAATTAATTAAAATGGGCCAAAGCATGTGAAACAATTTAATAAATCATAGCACAGGGAAACTAAGAAAAATATTCTAAATAATCTAAGCTCTACGTCTTAAGGATGAATTATGACCAAATGACCGTTGTGAGGAAAACATTCATACAGTTACACCAAAAAGCAGAGCATTTGTGCAGTGCGAGACAGCTGTAGAGAGGTAAAAGGACAGAAAGAATATCTGTTCACCTGAGAATCATCGCTGGTTACCTCGGTGCGTAATTCAGCCAGACGCCGATCAGCTCCTCCCCGTGGACTAGCTTCTTCCTGGAGTTCTTGAAGAGCCGCTGCAAGGCTTGGTAGTTGGTCACATAGGGGATCACTCTCTGGATCATTTTCTCTGAGCTGTAGTAATTCCCGAACTACCTCTTGTCTAGAAATACACAGTTCTTCACAACGGCCTTTGGCCGCTGTCAGCTCTCCTTGAAGGCGTTCCAAACCTCTGTGAAGGGTACTCTTTTCCCTAGAAACATTGAAAAATTGTTAGTGAATAATTCACATCCAAAACATGGGCAAAATATAAATCAAAAGTAATTGTGTAACAAGGAACTGTATCGAGTTAACAATACAATTCTAGATAAACTTTTTACATATTTAAAATACACAGATGACAATCTCTGAACTTAATGCAACTTCTTCTAAAATTTCCCTTGTATTTACAAACTATTGCATTGCCTGGGTATTTATACTCAGTACTGGGTATTTTAACTTGATGGCACTTCAGGGTCACAAGCTGGACAGACAGGGGGATACTGTCATCCAAACACCATCTTTGTTACAACTTAAATTTTTGGTATTGGAGCTTCCAATTGGATGATAATGTCCCCCTCTCCTTCCAGCTCATGTCCTGGATGTACCACTATGTTTCAATTGAAAGATATTAATTACAATCAACTAGTGGACAAAAAAAGGAAGGTCTTTTATTTACAATGTATTCCTTCCCAACCTGACCTCTTATCCACCCAGAACTGCCGCCCTCTGTACCTTTCCTGTCTCTCTTGGACACTAAATCAAAATGAATTAAAATGTGTTTAGTAGGATGTTTAAAGGGCTTTAAGAAACATTTTGTTCTCACAAGAACATTTTCTCAACACTTACAAAATATTTGCAAAAAACTAAAAAAGTGCAGGCTTAAATTTTGCTTCAAAGGGAAGAAAGGGGAGATGAGGGTAGTTTTACGAAAACTCATACAGACAATAGCTTACTTAACTTACAAAAAACTACTTGTTTTGAAGGTCATGTGTAAAAAATATTATTCGGATCGGAATAAAATGTTTGACCTGTACAAAAAGTAGCAAACAAGCCTACTTCTTTAAATAAGAGAAAATAACAATGTCAAAAAAAGTTAGCGTAAAGTTATACCTCTTATCCATTCCCGAGGATAACCTCTGACAAAAAAATCATACAAACAACTGCAATGTCATTTGTCTTTATGTCATATAAGATTGTGAGTTTCATAAAAAAGGCAGTTAATTTTGAATCACAGACAAACACTCCCATTTATATTTATTTATATAGATGCCTACAAAAAAATTTTTATTTTGGCTTTCTAAAATTAGGGAATTACTTCAGAGTATAGAGGAAACGTAGTTCAAGTGCAATTTTCAAAGGTTTATCATTGTTAAACATATATTTGGTAGATAAGTGCTCAAAGCGGTGTTTGTAAATGTTTCTTTAAATGGTGCCACATTATTTTTGTGTGGAAAAACAACAACAAGCCAAACCAAAATTATGTTTTGTGTATATTAGACTCTCTGAGGTTATAATGGTGTTATCCAAGAAATGTTAAATAGGCCACAAATTTTGCATTATTTCTCTAATTTTTAAACAAGTGATCAGGATTCATTTTACTTCGCATATATCGCAATACAAAGAGTGAGGAAGATTGAGATTTGAAAACAAAGATAGCAGGAAACTGGTGAACAGGCTAAACTTTTTGGAAAAAGGTTAAAACTGGAGACTTTGAATAGTTTACGGCAAGGAGAGCAATCATGAGAAGGTGCAGTCTTTTCAATCACAAATGTCACTTAAATGTAACACTTCGCTTCTTAAATTGTAACACTTATTTGAAATATCTGACCCCTTGAATGTATTCCCAATTTGGGAGAGAGCAGAGAGAAAGAGAGAGAGAGAGAGAGAGAGGAGAGAGAGAAAGAGAGAGGAAGAAGAAAGAGAGAAAGCAGAGAGAGAAGAGAGAGAGAGAGAGAAAGAGTGAGAGAAAGAGAGAGAGAAGCGAGAGAGAGAAAGAGAGAGAGAGAAAGAGAGGAGAAGAAAGAGAGAGAGAGAAAGAGAGAGAGAGAAAGAGTGGAGAGCAGAGGAGAGAGAGAAGAGAGAGAGAGAGAAGAGATGCAGAAAGAAGAGAGAGGGACAGAGAGAGAGAGGGAGAGGAGAAGGGAGAGAGAGAGAGAGGATGGAGAGAGAGCGAGGAAGAGAGGAGAGAGAAGGAGAGAGAGATGAGAGGAGAGAGAGGGAGAGAGAGGAGGAGAGAGAGGAGAGAGGAGAGAGAGAGAGAGAAGAAGGAGGGAAGAGAGGGAGGAGCAGAGAGAGAGGAGAGAGAGAGGACGAGAGAGAGGAATTCAAAAAAAGTAGCGTAAGTTATACCTATCCATTCCCGAGATAACCTCTGACAAAAAAAATCATACAAACAACTGCAATGTCATTGTCTTTTATGTCATCTAAATAAGATTGTGAGTTCATAAAAAGGCAGTTATTTTGAAATCACAGACAAACACTCCCAATTTTATTTATATAGATGCCTACAAAAATATTTTTTTTGGCTTTCTAAATTAGAATACTTAGGAGTATAGAGGAAAAGGATGCAAGTGCAATTTTTCAAGGTTTATCATTTTAAACATATGATTTTGTAGATAAGTGCTCAAAGGTGTAAATGTTTCCTTAAATGGTGCCACATTATTGTGGTGGAAAAACAACAACAAGCAAACCAAAATTATGTTTTTGTGTATATTAGACTCTAGGGTATAAGTGTGTTTATCCAAGAAGAAATGTTAAATAGGCCACAAATTTTGCATTATTCTCTAATTTTAAACAAGTGATCAGGATTCATTTACTTCGCATATGGCATACAAAGAGTGAGGAAGAGAGATTTGAAACAAGATAGCAGGAAACTGGTTGAACAGGCTAAACTTTTGGAAAAAAGGTTTTTAAAACTGGGAGACTTTGAATCAGACAAAAGACGCCCAATCATCATTGAGAAGTGCCCGTCTTTTTCAAAATACAAAATGTCCCACCTTTAAGAGTTGTGGTGTAACACCGTGCTTCCTAAATGTAAGCGCGAGCTGTGAGTGTGATATTCCTGACCCTCTCTGATAGTGATCAATTTGAGAAGCAGAGAAGGAAAGGAGAAGGAGAGGAGAGAAGAAGAGAAGAGAGAGAGAGAGAAAAGAGAAAGAATGAGAAAGAGAGAGAGAAAGAAGAGAGAGAGAGAAAGAGGAGGCCGGAAAACGAGAACGATTCCGATAGACTGTTGGGGAGAGGGTTGTGCAGGGGCTGCAGCCGTTGGGTGGGAGGGAGAGAGATGGTGGGGTGGGGAACAGCGCGGAACGGGGAGTGTGTGGTGTGTGTGGTGTGTGTTGGGAGGGGGAGCCGATGGAGAGATCGCCGGTTGAGGCAGCCCGGAGGGGGAGGGCGGAGGAGATGTGTGGTCAGATGGGGAGGCTGTGAGGGGCTGGAGGCCGGGAGGAGAGGGGTTGATGGCGGACGGGGAGGATGGAGGGGAGGGGGGAACTGAGCAGAGAGAGAGAGAGAGAGAGAGAGAGCGATTCTAGAAAAAGAGAGAGAGAGAAATAAAGAGAGAGAAAGACCGAGAGAGAGAAAGAGAGAGAGGAGAAAGAGAGAGAAGAAAGAAACAAGAGGAGAGGAGAGGAGAGAGAGGAGAAAAGAGAGGAGAAAGAGAGAGAGAGGGAGAGAGGAGAGGGAGAGAGAAGAGGGAAGGGAAAGAAGAAGAGCAGAGGAGGAGAGAGAGAGAGAGAGAGAGGCAGAGAGAGGAGGGAGAGAGAGAGGGTATATAAAGGGAGGAAGAGGCAAGAGAGAGAGGAGAGAGAGAGGAGAGAGAGAGGAGAGAGAAAGAGGAGAGAGAGATAGAGAATGAATGGAAAGAATGTCTTGCATAAAGAATTTAGTGAAAAACCCAAATTGAAATTGATGATTGAAGTGAAATTTATTCAATCCTTAATTTAATTTGAGTTTATAAAGGCCACTTGAAGACGTGCATTACCTGAGACACATTATGGCTTATTATTGAGTATTGTGCTCTTAGAACTTAAGAAAAAAAGTAAATTTGACAAGGAATGTCACTCACTTGACAGCAATGATGGAGATCAAAACAAGAGACATTTTACAGTGAAATTCTTGCTGTTTGTAATCCTTAACATTTCAAATCAACTGGAGATCATAAACTTTATTTCAGCCTACATTTTCATGGAAGATGATCAATCGTTTGTAATAAAAGGAAACTATAAAAAGGATAGCTACAGCAACTTTTTGTTTTTCAGAGCACTGGAAACCAGATTTGGTGGTGAAGATGAATAAAGAACATTTTTTCAGCTTAAAGTCATATTAGGTTCAAACGAATATCTTGAAATTTCTAAGCTGCAAACCATAACATGTAGCCAAAAAAGAAAAGCCTGCAGGGTCTTTTGTGCAATCAATCCACTTCAAGTTCCGCAAAGACCCTTCAAATCAATTCCCAGATCTAATAAGACAAAATAAACCTCTAGAAGCAGAAGCATGCAGAAGAAAACTATGGAGATAACTTATTGGATGAACCTTATCGTGTTTTTTGAGTCAAATTGTAATTAAAATTGTGTTTTCAAATGATCAAAAGTGCATTAAAAAAGTTTAGATTAATGCCATACCATCAGTCTGTATTTAAATATTAAATTTTATAACAATTTTTTAATATCTTAACTTCAAATTACCTAAGCTACTAAGGGCTTGTGTCAGTGCAAATCCTTTAAAAATTAATATGCACTGATAATTCAATCTCCTATCCAAGGTATTTAGGCATGGCTCTAAACAGTCCTGATGGCAACTTCCTTTGTCAAATTGTGGCTGGGGTTTATGTAACCTGAAAGTTGGCAATCTGTTCCGCCATTCTTAATTTCTCAGTTCAGGTCTCGAAGAGAATGGTACCATTCCTGACAAACCACCATTAACTTGCCTTTACCATTCAATGGTTCAGGTAAATCACAAAGATCAGTTCTCTTAAAAGTTGCCCTGCTCAGTGCACTGTACAGTCAGAAAACAGTGCTATGTCACTTATCTGAATGTTCACAAAAGAAGCTGCAGAGATCAGTGTTTTTTCTCCCTGGTCTTCAAAAAGTGGGAAAGAAGGCAGGGAGTTGATTTTTGAAGTCATAGAGAGAACGGTACTGCATCCCCATAGTCCCATCCACCATGGAGTCCCCATTGGAGTGCCAGGTGTGTCACAGGGATGTAGCAGGGAGTAGCACAGCTCTTTCCCTGACACACACTTGACAGAGGGCCATTAGGACACCCCTACTCAGCCTGGAGTGCATACAGAAACCAGCTCTGAGCCAGTTGATCACGAGTAGGTTCATTCCTGACTGCTTGTCTACAAGGGGCCAAAACCCAAAGTGTATTGAGGTATCGTTAATGTAACACTAAATATGCAACCATGAACTCCTATTAGCTAAGAATGGCGTGTAATACCAGGAGAGAAAAAGGAAACAAAAAGGTCCCTCAATTGCCAGGACATCCATTCTCCTCAATACAGGTTGTTACGGACAGCAAACACATAGGAGTTCAGCTTTCAGAGAAAGCCAATGAAGAAGAAAAGAGGGTGATAAGGGTGAAGGTTGCAAATAAAATACAGAGCAAGAGAATGAAAGACGGAGAAAGAAACAAATCAGATTTTGTTGTGTATACTCCTATCAGGATGTCGACCAAACCACCTTGATGGATAAAGGTTTTCAACAAGGCTCTTGTCTGTCCTCCACTCTTTTCAAAATGTTTCTATGTAGAATTTGACAAGTTAGACAAAAACTAAGTTGTGCTGTGAGACCGACATTAGACGACAAATTCCACAAACCATATTTCACATATTTGATAGTCGTTATTTAAGATGCTTGTGATGCATTACATAATATAATAGAATTCAACTCAATGAACAGTCAAACACAAGCATTAATAATTTCATCAAAACACAGTTAATCTTATAGAAGAAAGGGTTACAATTTGTGGGTTGGTTATTCAAGAAGTAGATGAAACAATAATAAAACAGCTGCTGGTCTCAGAGGAACACTTTTGACATAGAAACACTGGATACAGCAGACTCCCCAGAAAAGAAATAATATAACAAAAGGAAATAAAAACAGAACATTCCATATTTGATGAAATACACAGACTTGCAGTAGATACCAGCAGAACAACAGATGACAGGAAAACCCAAATGAGCATGGAAAGAAGGAATAGAGGTCATGATATCAAAATAAATCCAAGATGACTAATTGAAACACAGAAATGCCTAAAGACTGAAATCAGAGAAATAGTAACAACTGTAGATGAATTTCACTTTCATTATACATGCACCACAAAGTTCCCAAAATTAAATTATAAATTTATTTTATAGTAATTAAAAGATATTAATAAAATGTTTATGTAATTATATGGATTTCAATACCTCTAACCTTTTTCAAAAAACATTTATTGAATTATAAACATTAATATTCTTTGGCTCCAAGACCTGGAGACACCTGAACAGAATTTGTTGAAACAGTACCTTCAAATGCAAGGTATCATAACACAGATAATATTTAACACACGTTTAGAAAGAATTTTATGTCAAGAAGAATGAAAACTGGCATACATTTTGTCCATCTTAGAGAACAAGAAAAAAAACAAAAATATGCCGTGCATTAGCAGTGTCAAAATGTTACAGTGACGTGGAGCAATTCTCAGATATGAATGTAACTCCTATTTTAACTGCTTATATACCAAAATAATATTTTGTTTTAATTTTGACAAAAACTACAACATGTCTTTTCTTTATTATTTGCATGAATTAAGAAACAAAATATCAAATTTCTGTAAGAAGAGATTGAGATCTAGTTTCTGAACTCCCATCAGGCAGGATTTTCATTACCTCAATCCTGGAAGAACGGGCAATGCCTTCTTGATTTTATTGTTTTAATAGTGCACTTTCAGTACTAAAGATCTATTTCAATCCTTTAAAATAATTTTTGTTTTGTGTCTAACTCCATTTGTAAGGAAGTTACGAATAATGAGTGGTGCTAAAAACATCACATACTTTCTAGTATTATTTGTAATAGTTGTATGCTTGCACTGTGTACATGTAACTCTAAAATAACACAATTATTGAATCGAGCTTAAAAATTGGAATGCGTGAGGACACCTATTGGTAAAAATGAATATAATTTTACAAAAAGTGAGGGCTTCACATCAATAGGACTACAAAAAAAGGAAAGTAGATAGTGGTGGGAGGAAATGGATGGGACTAGTTAACCCATCGAGATATAGTTGAATTCTTTAAGATATTCAATTATATGCATATGACAAATAAATGTATATCATCTTTTTTCTACACTTATTACAATTAACAAATGGCGGATTAAGCCACTTGTAAACTAAATAAATTCTCATCTTATCTTCTAAACGCACTTACGGCATGAACAATTAAAAATAACACAATGAATAACTTTCAAAGACGATATGGCAGAACAAACCCAAAGAAAGGAGGAACAAATTTAAAACTGAAGAATCTGAGTTCATAATTAGACGAAAGAAGATACATGATTCCAATAACTTTGGCCAAATTTTTTACTAGATGACTTTACATATTAGAACACTTAACATGTAATATTCTTCACTAATATAGAAAATAGAAGTTTTCACTAATTAATATAAATAAATAAAATTTAATTTTTCTATAATTTTCTTAAATAAAAAGTTGATATTTTTTTGGAGAACATATGTCAGTTATATTTCTTACTTCAATATTTAATATTATAATAGTATTTTAAAAAACAGTTTAGAGAAATTTAACACCCATAACATCGCAGAAACATGTCATTGTTCCACATTTATTACTGCATAAAAATTAACAAACTATTTTTAATCAGTGGTTTTTAAAATTTATTATAAAGTAAAAAATTAGCCTTTTAAAATTTTTAAATAGCTTGATTGGCTGAAGTCTAATATACAGTACAATGCAGTTTGAATTCTGGAGGCTTTCTTGAAAAGATGAATTGGTAGTTATGTGGTGGATAGGCTCAGCGATGTTTATATTGAACGTGAGGGCCAAAGGCCTGAGACCCGTCGTGACTTGGCTCCAGGCAAGCGAAGCGAGAAAACTTGCCGTTGAAAAAAAAATCGGCATTACAATGCGGAAGAGACAAAGCATATAAAGGACAAGCCATGAAAATCGTCTACCCATCAGTTGTATTAATTTCTATCAGAGCACGTAGCATAATTTGAGGGAGGGCTTAAGGAGACCCCTCCCATCACACTTCTCTGGGGGTGTACTGTGTACTCTACTTTTACCGCTTGATTTTCTCCATTATGCCTTAAACCTTTAAAGGATCTGACAAATGAAGAGCAGGCTGTCTGAGCACTGAGGCATGAACAACACAAAGAAAATGTGTTTGGTATGCCAGACAGTGAGACTTTTCACAACACTTTCCTCCTACACAATAAACAATGTTGTATGGATTTGAATTCAAAGAAATTAAATTTATATATATATATATATATATATATATATATATATATATATATATATATAAATTAATTAAAAACATGCTTTAGTACATAAAAGAACCCTCCGCTGGTGAGAATAAAATGCAATAATTATCACTTGATTTAAAGGCACAACACTTACTCTCTTTCAGCCATAATTGTTTTTGATGCTTCTTCCAATCTTAGTTGCAACATTGATAGTTTTTGCAATAAATAATCTCGATCTGATGATGAATCAGTATCTAAATTTTGAGAAAATCTCCTGTCCACAGAGAGAGCATCATCACACTGACTGTTGTGAGGCACTTTAGAATCACTCATTCTTTCCTGCACTTCACTGCAAGTAAGAAGAGATGAAAGGTCATCATGATTGAAGCGCTCCAGTCCATCTAAGTCTTTATCAATAGCATTTTCTTTGGCATTGTTGTATAACTCTACAGCATGACGTGGAACCGCTCCTTGAAGAACATATTCCTCAATGAAAGGATCTTTATCTTGTGTAGATTGAAAATTGTCTTTATCATCTGGTTCCTTCTCAAGCCTGGACTGAACTGGTTCATTAAGGCTGTACTGATCTACACTAGACCCACTACCTGGCTCTACAGAATCTAACAAACCCGAGTTTCTCGGTGAAACAGGAACAACTTCACTATTCACATCTAGGTCATTAACAGGATTTAAATCTTTTTCTGGGTCCTCACTCTGCAAAGCATCTAACAGCTGCTGATCCCACTGTCCAGCATGTTTTAGCAGTAGTAAATGTATTTTCTCAACTTCCTTTTTCAATTGATCATTTTGCGTTTCCAATTCCATTTTCTCCCTTTTATATGAATTAATATCTTTCATAGCAGCATCTAATTGTGTACGCAACAGTTTTGATTCCTCTCGAGCCTTATTTCTTTCATTTCGTACCTGTAACAACATGAGATGGTACTTCAAAAGAAAACAAATTGTTTTAAAAATACGATAATTGACATTTAATCTTTAAAACTAGCAGCCAACCACATATCCTATAGTTAAAAACTCAATAGTATAAGATGATATGACGTAGCATAATCATGATTTATGTCTTCAACACTTGGAACATATCAGATTTTACCAGTTCCTATGATTTTCAATTGTATAAAAAAATAAATACCTTGCTCCATTTTTCTCTCCAATTTGCTGTACAATCTGACCACCAACGCATAGTCTTTTCCATTTGTGTGGCCCGAGCTCTGGCTTCCTCCAATTCCCTCTGGCGCATAGCCTACATCAACATGAATGTGTTAATTAAATTGACAACTACAAAATCAACAATTCGAAAAGAAATTAATAATAGAGGTTGTATGAAATGTATCTTCATTATTTTCTGTTAAATTTAAAAGTTCATGTAACTTCACCTCCTTTGCCTCCCAATCTGCATCTGCATATCTACTTGAAGAAATGGAAGCAGTATCATGATCATTCCGTCCATGACGACGAGATGAAGTTCCACTAGAACTTCCCTGGGCCATAGTAATTTACTAATTCTCGTGATACTCCCTTATGCTAGCATAATTGCAAAAAAACACCCGACATTGACACTCGACAGGCAAACACGGCGCTGAGCAGGCAGCATATTACATGCGCACAGTACATTCTGATATCATTCTCTACGTCCACTCACTCAACATATATTTATTTCATTGCTTCTCTCCTCCTAGCATATCAACAAATGTACTTCAACATCAGCTTAGCTCACGCACACATCAACGAGTTTACATTGTATCAGCTGTCACATTCGCCGACATTCGCATCCAAAGCATTTGTGTATAACGATAACATGACCACGAAAACTGTAAAATAGACATTCAACTCCGGTCGTGGGATTCTATGTTCGAAAACATCCCCAGCTAAATTGTACACTTAAAATACAGCGACATCTCGCAGTGAATAGAAGAACTTTTTACAGAGAGATGTTCAGAGCATACGAATTTTAGAGCTGCCGAGGGCAGCACCATCGCCTCTGGTTGGCAAGTGGCAATGCTGGTAAGCCGCAAACTCATGGTTAAAATATTGTACGTATACGTATGGATTTTCTTTTTAATACGTCGAGATCATATTTCGTTGGAGGTATTTCTCTGCCTATAACTTTTTTTAAACGTTTTTATTTTGTATAAATACATTTCCTTGCAGTGATATGTTCTTTTTACTTTCTCCCTACGGAGAAAGAAAGATTTGTAATGTTGCGCGAAAAAACGGTGAATTTTCGGCAGAAAAGCTCTTATTACACAATTTTAGTAAAGAAAAAGTAGATAAATTCAGTTCTAATATTTAGACAAAATCCTCTTTGACGTGGTGTAGCCAGATTCCATATTTTGTCCTTGATACCGAAAAATCGAATAACGGCAAAACGTCAAGAAAGTGCTGTGTTAGCCCTACTAGTTTTTTTTTAAAATAAAGTAGTAATTTCACGATAAACAAGTTGTGCGTGGTACTGGACTGAGGCAAAAGGGGGCAGGAGAGGCAGGGTAATCGTTTTTAGATTCCCTACCGTTTCCAGAAATCAGAAAAGTAAAATTATTGCACAATCGGAACAAAGAGGACAAAAGTGGATTTCTGCTTTGAAGTGAGAAAAATTAGACGATTATTTCGATTCATACAGTTAACACTATCTTCGTAATTCGCAGTTCAAACGATTTAACATTTCCTGTCATTCTCAGATGTTTCATTTGTAAACGTGTGTAGATTTTCCTTATTTTTGCATTAATATAAACTGACCCAATAACAAGGATCGCTCTCACAAAAATAAGTTTCATTTAGCCTACGTGCAGTGTCTGAAAGTGTTGAACAAACACAGCATCATAATACGTATGAACCACTAAAATTATGTGGATCTTCAAGACTTAATTTGTTTAAAAGCTAATCTGAAATCTGTAATACGACGTAGCTCACCAAATCAACTATTTACTTCAGCCACCAGGTCATATGCTAACTGTAAGACAAGAAATGTCATCAAATGTTCATTAAAACTCGGCAAGCAAAATATATTGAAAATTCGTTTGATGAAAACTACTATCATTAATATCATTGGGGATAACCAAAGCGGATAACACAAAACAATATTTTAAACACGTGCCTTAATATTGAAATTCAACCATCAAAATTGAATGGGTGAAATGAAAATGGTACACATTCCTATTTCCTTAATTTTGGGGAAATTAGAAAAAAAACTGTTTCTTAATTAAACTGTCAGTTTTACAACAAAATTTTCTCTTGATGTTTTAGATCTTTCAGTTCTTTGAGTCCATTCCTGAAATGATAAATGTATTTGTATAAACTGCATGGCTTAAGAAGTATAAACTGTACGGCTTTTCATATTCGATGAAAGGGAATGTGAATACAAACCGCAATGAACAATTTCCTAGAGCTCATTTTATTACAAATTAGCATCTTAGCATCATCGCTAAAGTTATGATAATATTTACTTTCAATCATTTTCAAAATGAAAATACGGTGAATTGATGGATATCTGATAGAATAGTGCATCTTTAATTTAAATTTCTGAACGAAATGTTGTCAGAACCTAAAAAAACGAAATAAAACAAATATCATTGTAAATTACAAACGTGATATGAAGTACAAACGTCGGCAACCGCATAATGCAGCCAAAAACTTACTGATTCTCTTTGCATAGCTTTCGTTCACAGAAGTTGCCACCCAACACTTTCCCGCCAAACGTTGTGACGTCATTGTGGACATCTCTATAGCTATGGTGCTTTTGTGCCAAGTCAAGTAAGTACCCATATTCTCCGCAAATCAACGCCATCACACATACTTTCACGCACTTAAATGTAGGTGGCGTTGGCCAACTTATAACGCAAGTATAAGCGCGTCGTTATTGACCGAAAAAAATCGACGTAAGTTCTTTCATCTACCGCGTGGTGTCGTTAAAGTTTAGGTGTACAAACTAGCTGTCGACATTTCTCATTCTCACATATACTTTCCTCATCGTTGAGTCATGGATGGATCCCTTGCCACCGCTCGATTGTTGACAGCGCTCCTGTAAGCTTGGTCCATAAAGTAGAGTTACTCACCAAACAAGGGATTTACGTAGATATTTTGAAACAAATAAATACGCGAAAAACTCAACTTTATGGTATCGCGAATAAACATTTTTAATACAAAATGATTCGTTGCTGAAGTCGAATATCCTATTGACATCCGCAATGAATAATACTTTATGCTTTCAACAGGGATGAGAGTTCTTGTTTGTTGTCATCTGAACTAAATTTTCCCCTACAAATTATGCTTCTTAGCGAGTGAAACCATGGATGAATAGATATTAATTTATGGTGAGGTTCTGTAAAAATATAGAAACAGTGTAAGAGAATTCTAAGCATCTTGCCAGTATACTACTTGAGGGAAAAAAACCCTAGAAATATTATGAGCAAAGCGCACTAATGTGCATACGAATGGAGGAATTGAGAACTAGAAATGAAACTATTTTATTCTAGTTACTTTGATAGGGATCCCATTGCTATCACGTCACCACACCACAGAAGCACATTAGCATGCTTAGTCCATAAATATAGTGCGATTTTTATAACTGTGCACTTTGAGGCCCATCTTCACGGTGGCATCATTATGAATTGTTATCTCTTGGCGCATTATGTCGCGTCTTTCTCGGTTATGCCTCTAGATGTCGCAATCGTATGTAGCCGTGTTCGGTATGGTAGCGATCATGCGACATCTAGCGGAACGTCAGAGAGAAAGACGCGAAATGAAGTGACATAATGCCACCGTGAAAACAGGCCTTGAGGCGCAGTTATAAAAATCGCATTATAACTGAAAATGTCTCACAGAGTGCGCTAGTGTCGCTTTATTTCTCCGAATTGCAATATGCTGAACGTTGAAACCGGTGATTGGATTGCGGGAGCCATGGAGTTTCAATGGGATAGCAAATTGCAGTAACATTTACGAGATTGCTACTTGCATGGCTTGGAATTTCAGCTTAAAGAAGGCCTGAAAGCCAGCCATGATACGCAATAGGTGAGTGTACTGTTGTAAATTCTGTGTTCGTTATTGACAAAAATTGGAGGAGTGGAACCGTTTTGTAAAATTGTTGGGGGTATTGGGAGTAGGGTGAAGTGAAGTGGGCAAATTGGTATTATTAGGAGGAAAACACAATGGCTACGACAACAAATGGGAATGGAAATTTGGTGGATGAGTTTGAAGAAGCATTTCAGGCAAGTACATGATTGAAATTTATTTCGGATAACAAGAGCGCTTCTTCTATTAAAATATGATATTTGTCTTTTCGCAGTCATGTCTGAATGTTTTGACGAAGGATGAAGCCGTGCCTACTATGGAAAAGGATGAAATTCGTGTTGAAGTCGACCATACAATTCTTCGGTTTATTGACCTGGCCCGACAAATGGAAGCATTCTTTTTGCAAAAGCGCTTTCTTCTTTCAGCTCTGAAACCAGAATTAGTTGTTAAAGAGGTATGTCAAAAGGAAATTGACTTGTGGACTAATAATTGTGGATAATATTCTGACGTGGTTCTAATGTACCCAGGATATAAGTGAACTACGATTGGAGCTTCTAAGAAAAGAAGAACTCATTAAACGTCATTATGACAAAATAACTGTGTGGCAAAACTTGCTTGCCGACCTCCAAGGATGGGCTAAATCACCTGCACAAGGTTCTGCACCATCCGGATTGCCTAATGGCAATGCTGGAGGACCACAGCCTCCTGCTCCTCCACCTGGAGCACCACCACAAGGCAATGCTATGCCTGCTAATATGCAACAACAAATACAGCAACAGCAATTACAACAGCAGCAGTTGCAGCAACAACAATTGCAGCAGATACAACAGCAGCAAATGCAACAACAGATGCAGCAGCAACAACAAATGCAACAACAGGTAGCATATGGATAGGAGCAAAAATCAGCGTTAATTCAATAGGATACCACTTTCCCTTCAATTAATGTTGGGTAGTGGTGGTGGATAGAATGACTTCTGTGTCTGTCAACCTTTCTTACTTGGAGTTCAGTCATGTCAGAATAGCTCACAATTATTCAATGTAATTCATAATTTATAGTGTCCTATATTGTATTTTTATAGTCTAGTGCAACCAAAGAGTGAATATCAGTGCCTTTGCTCTGTTAGTATAGAAGCAATGATACAAAAGTTAGTATCAGAAAAAATATTTATACAGTATATTCATGTTTAATATGTATTGAATTGTTAGCATTACAGAAGATATTTGTCATTCCAATTCTGCTGAAATGGATGTGGTAATAAATGCTAATTACTTTGAAAAATTGGTGTGAAATAAGGAACTGTTTTGTTACCACGCTGGTCCCAAATTTGTTACAGAATAAAGTTTTTTCACAAAAACTTCAGTTCATCAGAATCATTGTGATAAATTGGGTGCGGAATGCAAAGTCAGTTAGCGAGCATGATGTTTGTTCTAGCTGCAACATCCTAGACAATGGTGGTGGTTGTGGTTCAGGAGCAATAGGTCTGCATGGTTTCCAATTTCTGACCACATCAAATCTTATACATTATTTGCATGCTGGAACATTCTTGGAATCTTCTGAATGCATATTATTTTTATGTTTTATTTAAAAGTGTAGTCTTAAAATTTGATTTTGAAATGGGTTTGGATGTAAAATTCATTTCTTTTGGGTCTCTTAGTGTTTTTGTTTTGTTTTGTTTTTGTTTGTTGCTACGTCTACAAAATAAACCTTTCTATTTTTATTTGAAGTTATTTTTATTATTTCTTTATTTTGAATTTTTATTTGTTTCCTGGGTGTTTCAGTGAGCCCCTTGTGGGTTCCTCACTGAAACGGCACGCGTCTGTTTTCAGGGCCCCACTGGCATGCCAGTAGCGTCTGGCAGCGGGGGACCCGGAGGGCTGGTGGCAGCCCAGCAGGCCATGTTTCTACAGCAACAGGCAGCAGCTGGCGGCCCTCGGGGCCCCCCTGGCTTCCCAGGGCAAGGCCCTGGCGGAGGTGTGCTTCAGGGCCCTTTGGCATACCTAGAGAAGACCACCAGCAACATAGGTCTGCCGGAGGGGCGAAGGTGACGGGGGCGGGGGAGGGGCCGGGGCAGAGGCAGGGGTCGAGGTCGTGGCAGAGGACGCGGCGCTGTGGACTATGGAACTGCCCCCTAAACCCTCCCACGTTGGGACCATGCGTGGTCATTACGTTTTTGGGAAAAATTTAGATAGGACATTATTGTGCCATGTAGATGGTGAATTGGGACTTCTACTGAAGTAGTATGTACTGTATACGTTTAAGTGAAAAATACCACATTCATTCCTGCAACACTGGACAAACAATTCCTCTTTCTGGAGTGATTACTGTTAATTTTATTGAAGCGTTTTAGATTCCCGGAGATGTGTTCCACTTATTTTTTGCATTCTGGGAAATAACTCTGAATAAGAAGGTATTAAGTGTGCAATTCTGAGATTTTGCGAATCTCTTCTTTTTTCAATCAGTTCAAAAGTTCAATAAACATTCTGCCATGCAGTGAAAAGAAGTATACGATCTCCAGTCTTCAATACCAAATATGCAAGTATTGGTTTACATTAGACGTTTTCAGTGATGAAAGATGGGAAAGAATGGAAAGGAACGTCAGTGAGATTAAGGAAACTTTATCAATTGCTGTAAAATACGAAACCAAAAGTTAAATGGTTTGCTTGTATATTTTTGTATGCTAGAAAATAATTACCAAGAAAATAGAATTTTCGCTGTTGAAAAAAGTAAATCACATGTTTTCGATAACAATTTGTAAAAAGTTTTGTTAATTTTTAAGCTGTACATTTTGTTGACTTAATATGTAAGCTTTAACCACTAAAATGTTGATATTTCACATTAAAATTTTATTAACGTGTAATGAAATGTAATTTAATGGAATGGTCTTGTGAGTGTAAAAGTACTGTGGTCAAATTGTTGTGTGAAAATATGAACTTAATGTTGATACACATATTGAATGACAGTACAAAAGTAAAATATAATTGTGTTCCTATTTCTGGCTACTACCATCCTTTATAGGATCTCTTCATCTCAACAGGCAACTATACACCTGTAACTTATCTTCATTTTATACAATTTTATTCATATACAGTATATACTGTTCAGGGCTTTGGTAGTAGTTATGTACATATATATTTCTTTTACCTTTGTACAAAATGCCTAATTTTCTCTGGAATTTTATAAGCTGTGTAACTGTAGATCTTGTAAATAAAAAGGAAAGCTTTCTCCTTGTTTTATCTTGAATTCTTCCTTGGTAAGATTCCTGGCAACCATGTTTTGAGATGTTGAAAATTCTCAACATCATTTGCAATGTAATATAAAGTAGAATCCATACTCAACATTGCAGGGCCAATAAATGTATTAAGGCACGAGTGGGTCTTCCAGTCATTCCTTTAACTAGGTACGGGACACCATCGCAAGGTGCTGGACCCATAACCCCAGCGATGTCCAAATGCATCCAGTCTACTTTGGGAGCAAATTCCTGAAAAACAGGTATTCCAATTTTGTTAGTAAGAATTCTGTTAAAAATAGACAAAATAAATGATCCTACAAAATGTTTCTCTGGATGAATGTATGAATAGCATTTAAGACAGAAGCTTTTGCACGAAAAGGGAATTATTACACCCTAATCACCTTTCAATTTAACCCCGGCATTTGGGGGCAGAGGTTCACCCAATGATTCTTTTATTTTTTATAGGTTTCAAATTTAGAAAGCTGAAAGCCATCGATATTGTTTGTGAAGTGTTCTTTTGATCAAAACCTGACTCAATCACAAATGTGTTGTAATTGGAGTTATTACTAGGGAGTGAAACTTACTGTAATAAATGCAAAATATTTACATGTGTATTTATTCATTTTTATTTACATTAATTGATACTATTGTTTAAAATTACCTTATTTTTTTATACCCACAAGTATTTTCAAATACATCACTTGGCTGTTCAGAATGGATTTGGAACAGCTCAATGAACATTCTACCTCTACAGAAGTAATTGAAGGTTAGTCTTCACCAAACAATACAAGTTTTAATTAAAATGTAAGATGTATTCAACAAGGACATAAACTGCCTCACTGCATACGTAATGATGGATTTAAGGAGGTGATGACTTTGCTCCTAAATCCACCAGTTTACATATCCTGTGCAGTATTGATGACTGGAAGGTTTTAGTGTTTGAGACCCAAGGATGGGGTTTTTGACACTAGCTAGAAAGCTGGTCTTCAACCCTGCAATATAAATCTCGAGGGTAATTCTAGCAGCTGGCTGCTTTGATTGCAGTTTCCCATGGTTTCTTAGATCTTGGGCAAATGCCGACACACTACTTTAAGAAACCAGCCTCTGATTCTGCACAATCTTTCCTCCTGCATCCTTCTCTCCCCTCTCCTTAGGCACATCTTTAAGTCACGACTCTGCCATATACGATGAAAGACCAGACAGCACATCTCAGCTGGGAAGGTTCCGCACTGGAGAAATATACTCGCAAGCTGATGAGTACATTGGTGGCTGATCTCACGTTCCAGCAAGGGAGAGCATGCACTGCACTTCAGTGACTAATGATTTAACTATTTGACTTGCCTGAAAACTATTCTTATCCAAAACTGCAATAGAACTCGATGTACTGAAACAAGTGCCACAGATTGATCACATCACATTCCATAAGAGAATACCAATCGAGCTTGAAGGAAAGGGGTGTTGCGAACACACTCCGAATTTTGTATCCCTGGCATGAGTGTATATTTCTTGGAGAGAAGGGTCATAAGGGAGAGGACACTTGCTAAGACAATAATTGTTTCAAGACACTAAAATTCTCCTTTAAAATGTGATGTAATTGATCTGTGACCCTTGTTTTCAGTAAATTGAGTTCAATTGCACTTTGATGCGAATAGTTTCTGGGCGAGTAAGAAACGGGCAACTAAAAAGAGTCTGTCAGGTTTCTATTGAGTTGTGTTTGGGCTCTACGAAATATGAGAAATCATGGTTGCAATTACTTCTGCTTTGACCCTTGATTTCGAATAAGCAATTTCCGAGAAGCAGAAGGTAAGTTTGATCATTCACAGCAAAGGCAGGGCCATATGAACAGCATTGGGCCTAGGTTAATTTTGGGGCACCGTAATCTTAGTTTTGCCAATCTCCCCTGAAAACTGAGCATTCAAATTACTTTTTGGAAATTTTATGGAAATTTCCAAATTATGAAAATTATTTTTTGGAAACTATTATGACCGAGTGTAAGATAGTTTATAAACAACTAGCTGACATGCCCTGCATTTCCTGGGTTGTTAATAACATCATCTAGGGGAAGGAATTAATTCATCTCCTTGCCCCACACTGCCTGCTCAGTCCCAAACCTTCCCTCTGCTCTGCCTCTTCCCCTCTCATTTTGCCTCACACCCATCGTGCTTCACCCTATCTGGTTTGGGATTATCATTGCTATGGGCAGCTGTAAGGCCTGCATCACCCGAGCATTACATTGACACGCGATATGAAACACACATCAACACAATGCTCATGTGCAAGAGCCCTAAGCAGATGAATTGTTGCACACCCCAAGGAAAACTAACAATTTTGACCTTCAATTTCTCAAAGCCTAATAGTGGTATCAAAATGCATTTTGTAAGAAAATTTATGGGTTTTAAGAAAGTATTTATTTTATTTTGATCAATTCACTCACCATTTTAAAATATATGTGCAGGGGTGCAGTCTTCAATTTTGCTTTATAAGACATAAAATGGCAATAGAAATATTTCTTTTTGAAATCACTAGTGGACTGCAATGAATCTTTTGCTTGAACTGTGCAAACTTTATTCTATGTATAAGAGAAAATGAAAATTTGCAAAAAAGTAGCCCGACAAAACACACTACCTTTCAGTTAAAATGGCTTCAGAATTAGTTTAGCCATTCAAAAGATTACCCCCTAACATACAAAATCATAAAAACAATTGAACTGGTTTTAATATAATGTAAATAACAATATGAGTACAAAATGTTACTTTGAAATCGTTGACAGACAATCCAAACTTATTTACACAGATTCAATTTAATTTTTACTTTCTAGTATCGTACATATATTTGGAGTAATACACGTAATATAGGGAATGTTATGTAATTTGCGGAAAATTGAGATTTCAATGGAAATGCTCGTTTTGGTGTCCCCTGATACGGAAAAAGTGTTTTTTTCCCTCAAAATGTCTGTCTGGTGTATGTGAACAACTCTAGTGCCTAAACCATGAGAAGGATTTTTTTCTAAATTGAAGAAACCCCTGTCCATTTGGTCCGAGTCGAAGCTCTGCAATTTTAAAAATCATTCATTAGTTTTTGGGTGTACTTTACATGTAGCCCCTGAGATAATTTCAAAATTTTAATTTCTTATAAGAATAGAGTAAAATGCACTTAGAAATGTGACATAGGTCTGATTTTCATGCTTCACTCTGAATTTTCGAAAATTTCAAATCTTTGAATTTTTTGGGGGTCTTCCGACAACAAAATTAAAGATAAGAGTTTTTTCTTTAAATAAAATTTGTTGTCTATAATTTGTTATTTCATGAAGGTCAAGTACATTTTTTTGAAAATTTTAGTTGTTTTCACACAATATTGCATGAAAGTGGTACAATTAAAAAAATTAAAAACACAAGATTTTCTCAAGAACGACTCAAACTTTTGGTAAGGATAGTGCTAAATGTACTCTCTTAGATGACATAAGTGTCATATTGCTCTATTCTTTTGTTTTTTCAAAACTTAAAAAAATAATTTTTTGTATTGTCTCTCATATTGTTAATATTTACATTACCGGCAATTAGTTCACGTTATTGTATTTATAAGTACATATGCTTTAAATAATGTCATATAAAATTCCTTGCAAACTCAACCATTTTCTATGAAAAGTAGCTCAAAATTCTGCATTTTCAGAAATGGTCAAATGTCATTTTCTCATAAACAGCTCCAAATGTTTTCTTCAAACATTTTGAACAAATTGCACTCTTTAATATGGTGGTAAATTATTTTGTTTTTTCAAAAACACAATTTACGCAAATGTAAATTTTTTGAAAGATCTCTGATGGCATTGATATGCATATTTCCAGCAATTTGTAAACACTATTGTATTTGTGTAATCAAGAACTTAAAATGATTTCTAAGTTTTTCGAAAATTCGAACTGTGCAAAAGAGCTTCAAATGTCGAATTTACTATAGCGCTTAAACATGTTTTTCATAAAAACGGCTCCAAATTTTTCAAAGAAAATTGCCATTTACAACGAGATTTTACAGTTCTTTAACAATCTTAAAATAATATTTTCACTCTACAATTAAAAAATTCAAAAAACTTCAAAACATTTACATTGAGGCGATGGATGGCAGCAGGCAAGATATGTGGCAAGTCCAGGTATCTAGCCAAGACCAAAGGAAATAGGAAATAAATATGGGAAAGTCTGTGCCATTCTGTAGCACCACTAGTTGTTCATCTATCTGGGGTAATTCTTGGAATGGCTAAACTGACTTCAATATGGTTTTCAGTGAAATATATATTTTACTGAAAGAATATTTTGTTGGGCGTATACTAAGCTGCATTTTATTTAATTATTATTTTATATTATATAAAGAAGAATGATTTTTTGCTCGTTATTGTATAGAAATTTTGTTTTATTCGAATTTAATTAAATTTTGTGTATCTGAAACATCAAAAATTAATGTTTGTAAAGATTTTGTAAAAATGATTCTTTTCCACTTTTCTATTCTCTCCAGTAAAATTTAAGTTTGGACTCTTACAGTGTTTCATGTATTGAAGACTGTAAATTGACTAAAGTGAATTGAAACTTTTAAAAAGCCCATAAAATTTTCTATAAAATAAATTTTGATTTGCTTCAATAACACAATTAGATTTTAAGTAATAGAAGATGAACCCTGTTACTGCATGTTTGCTGGGGATATGCAACCATACATCTGTTTAAAGCCCATATCAATTATAGTACTAGCTACAATGACTGTAGGAAACATACTATGGCAGTGCGAGGCAGGACAGAACAAGGTTGTTTGGTCTAACGTTGGCAGTTGTTGACTTTCATATTCGTAGGCCTAATATTTTATTGCAAATTATACTGTTTTTGTTGTCGGTACTAAAAAAAATTAGAAATATAACATTTCTTAGGCCATAGGATTTTTTAGGGATTATTTAATTTTTTTGTAATCATTAATGGAGTTAGAGCTTGATATATTAAAAATGAGCATATTAGGATGGAATTAAAATGTCATCTGATTTAAATGAACATCCCCTAATTATTCTCCTTTTGGTCCATTTCCACAGTACATCAAATTTCATTACAATAAATTAATAATAATTGGTGCTGGAAATATGGCGTTAAAGAGTGAATATTTGGGTGTTCAAGATATAGGATTTACGCTGAGAAAATCTATCTCATTAGATAATTTCTTTCCCAAGTTCCAACTTTTGAAAGAAACAAATTCATCGCGTTCCTAATTCCAAAAGATTACTACTTTTACTACTCCTCTTTACACAGTTTTACTATTCTATGGAAATATTTTGTGAACTCAAAAGAATATATCTTCTGCGCGATTCCAAAAGTTTAAGATTTTTAACAAAACGCATTTCTGTTACAACTGTCAATGTCATCAAGAAGTCCGTTTGCATATTTGAATTCATTTTTCCTTCAATATTCTCTTTCGTCTAAGGATTCCCTCGGGAGCGACTGAAAGAGAAGCGCTCGGGAACGACAGAAAGAGAAAGCTCACGAGCGACCGAGAAGGAAGCGTTCGAGAGCGTCGGAGAGAGAAGCACTCTGAACGACTGAAAGAGAATCGCTCGAGAACGACTGAAAGGGAAACGCGCGGGAGCGATTGAAAGGAAAGCGATCGGGAGCACCCGAAAGGGAAGCGCTCGACAACGATTGACAGGGAAGAGCTCGGGAACGATTGACAGAGAAGCGCTCGTGAGCGATTGAAAGGGAAGCACTCGGAGGTTACTGAAAGGGAATCGCTCGGGTACTATATTATTTCCTTTTGGCGGGTAAAACTTTATCTAATATTACAAGTTTCGTAATATGTAATCGTGTAACTTTGTAGTAACTGTTTAGATTAAGAATTGTTGTAAATGTGTTTTTGTTTCATTTGTCGGCGCACATGATACAAAAACAATGATGCTACTTATTTACAATTTAGTAATCTTTCAAAGAACCAATCTTTTCACATAGTTGAAAACCTTTCTGGTAAACATTAATTTAAAAGGTAATATCAGGACACAGGGAACCATATACCGATATACCCAAACTTTTGATGTTTTCCCCCTTAATTTACAGATTTTTTTTATCATGGCTTTTTGATCCATAACTTTACTTTTGACTGACTCTTGTACATCGTGTTTCACAGATGCTCCTCATCTACTTCAGTCATCCTATACGACAGTTGCGCTCACGTGCGCAACACCAAGCAACCAATTTAAATGGCTACACCTACATTTTTAAGGATTTCTGAAAAAAGTGCGATTACTATTTTTGTAGCAACATTTGAAATTACCTTGAGAAATGCTGCCGCTGTGCATGACCCCGCCATTTTAAGTTTGCTCACATTGTTCACATCTGCAGCAGGAACATCTGAAATAAACAATAATTAATCAAGTACGGTATATATTGAATGCTTATTTGAATAGTGCATGGGTTTTATACGAACTAAACGACTACTTTTTAAGGGATTGACCTGCATCAAAGATCGTTTGTTATTGCCTAATGAATCATTGCGCTTGAACATTTTTAGAATTATTTTTTAAATACTCATTAAATTGCGACTGTCCCCTAAACATCATTTTTCGCCGCGAGAGAAATATTTTATTGTAACGCGGGCGACGGCGTTCGTGGAGAGAGACGGATGGCGAGGAGTGTGGTTTTCAGCGCGTTGGTATTAAAAAAAATATGCGAGGGTAGCGACCCCTTCGCCGATGCCAGCAACGGACGAGCACATTTTATACCAGATGTTTACGAGTGCAGAATCGCTCGGAAGACAACTACGAGCACAACAGCGAACGCAGCCGAACACCTCCGGGCGTTCGACCCAGGCGGTTCTTAAGGGTCACGTCCCTTGGATATGATTTCTAGAGTGTTTCACACTATTCAATGAACATTTTAAAGCAGCACTAAAACTAATTTGTCGGCTCTTTAATTTTGCCGTGATATCAATAAAAAATCTCAAGAAATAGAAATTTTTTTAAAAAAAAAAAATAATGCTGTATTAATATTTTACAAGTAATATCTAGTTATATAACCCTCTCCAAATTTTCCCCAACTTCTAACCAGTCTTTCACAAATTCTGTGATATTCCCCTGACTTTTCCAGAGCAATGAAATTTGTTGATTTTTCCTGGGTTTCCATAGTTTCCAGAAAATGGTCACATGTAACCCAGACAATTTATCACTTTAGTTTTGAAAATTTTGCTAAGAATTATTGTCAAGCAGGAATAAATAAAAAAATATTCATTCACATAATTTATATACAATATACTAAATTAATTATAAAAACTGTAATAAAAATCAATAATGAGCAATTCATACCTGTAACTTGTGAACTAAAATATTTCCATAAAGGCATCCTCCAAAAACGGTCACCAGTAACAGAACCAGCTTCTTCTAGTTGCTTCCAACGAGCTGTTGAGGTTGTGTAAGCTCCTGTACAAGCATTTCCCAAAGCAATTCGTATGGCACCTAGAAGAACCAAGTCCCATGACATTTCACTTTCAAATTTGCGCCTATTGTTTTTTCAATTTTGTTATTTAAGTGCATCGTACCAGTCAAAGTAGCAATATCAATAATAAATTGTCCTTGAAATTTTTCAGAATAACACAGAGCATCAGCAAGAATAAGTCGTCCTTCAGCATCAGTGTTATCAATCTGGATGGTTTTACCATTCATTGCAGTAACCACATCGCCAGGTTTATTAGCACCACCACTTGGCATGTTTTCACACAGAGGAATAAGCCCTGTTGGAAGAAATTAATTGATTTAATTGAATATTATTTAATAAATTAGCAGTAAGGAAGCAGGCTAATGGTTCTTCAACAGTGTACACTTTCAAGCATTATTTGTACGGACTATGCAATAATATAATACTACATGAAACTGAGAAAGCATTTTCAACCAGCAATTTCTTCTTGCAGAGATTTAAAGACAAACCTTTAAGAGTTAACATGCCAGGCATGTTACCCTAGCACCTCTAGTCACCCACAGCAAAACTTGAAGATCCCAAAGCTTAATAAAAGACTTCAATCATATTTGCAATTTCCAACATTTTCGAGATTTTAATTAATATTATTTCAAGATCTATTTTTAAAGGACAATAAGGAGCTAGAGGTGCTACAACAACACATATTACCTGCTCATATTATTTGTAACTGCTTTGCCATATTATACTTTTTTTTCCAAACTGAGCCTCAAACTCCAGTCCTCCGAGTTAACTCGCCATGAGTCTTACCTCTCGCTGTGGAAACAGTGTGAGTTTCGAACTCAGGCCGATGCTTAAAAATGTAATTGTCTCAACCCTACGTTTCAAAAATAATTTTCTAAAAGTCACAGAGATGAACGAAAATGAGACATATACCAATCTTTGAAGTGTCCCTTGTTAATACATGGAAAAAATTTAAAGAATAAACAATGCCAGTTTTTGAGAAAATGTTCTTTTTGTATTATACATTGATTTCAAACAAAAATTACTGAAAACTGCTCATTGCTTTAAAAAACTGTATTTGACCTTTCTTAAAGACAGACTGAATTTGAATACTTGAAAATTTTTAGACAGACTTTATTGAAAGCAAAAATCTCTTTCTTCACTTTTGAAAGTTTGAAATGTTAGCTTTTTGCAATTTTCGAAAACACGGAGATCTCCGAAAATGAAACCTTTCCTTATATTGTACTGTTCCTTGATATATACAAGGGCAAAATGTACAGAAAAAAATTGGAACGATTTTTGAGATGTTTTTTAATGCATTAATTTTAAGCACAAATTACAAGAAAACTGCTAGTTTCTTAGAAAAACTTGAATATGTCCTTTTTTAAAGAGATAATTTAAAGCAGACTTTAAGGCAAAAATACACTACACGTTTTTCAGCGGAAAATCGCAGTTTTCAGGCGCAGAATTACATAACTTTCTCTTTACTACGTAATAAGCAGAAAGTTATGTTATGTCTATATTACTCCGTATATACGTACGTATACGAAAAAGTAAAAAAATTGGAGCCATTTTTTGAGAAGGAAATGAAAATCCTAAAACTCAATATGGAAAAAAGTCGTATAATATCTTAAGAATATACATTTTTCTTTTAATGGCATTCAATATTGAAGATTGTGCAGCAAAATCGATATGAATCATATACATCAATTTTGAAACCAAAGAGCGTCCAACTGGCGCTCTTTTCGGCGTCTGGTGGCACCACGCCCTTGGCTCTATAACTGGGTTTACTGCATTTACTCTTTGGCCCTTCGCTTTAACACGGGGGGAACATGTGGCGTTTGGTGACGCAACCAAATGGGTGGGAGGTCGAGCGCTGTGAAGCGCTACGCAGCGTCCAAGACAGTTCCAGGGCAATACTGTGATAAGCCAAAGGATCCCACGATATTTGGCATGGGAGTATTTGCATCAAGTGTACGGTTACGAGGGAAGGGTACGTATACAAAACGTTTAGGAGCCAAAGAATAGATGCCAAGGCAACGAATCAATAAATATAAAGATTCCATGTTTGAAGCCAAAGCGTCATGCTGTTTCGCGCCACCGTGGCCCAGTAGACATTACATGCAATAAGTGGGAATAAGGCATTGAAGCCGTTATTTTGCGAAAAAGACGAAATGATCATTCTCTAAAAATCTGCTACCCTTGACACATGTAAGCAATTGACGAGATGTGAATGTTAGTTTTCAGTATAGTCGGGGTTAATTGCATTAGTATTGAAGCGGGTAAATGATGATTAGTGTTCATAGATTAGCATTGTGCAGAGTCAAAGTTCGAAAGTGTTAGTAATGTTAAATAAGAATGGTGATTTTTTGATAAAGTAATTGTTAGATTAAAGTCAAACGGTTTCCCTTTTCGGAAGGGTCTTATATCAGGATAGCTCCGTAGATGTGGAGAAATTTTTATTATGTCGGTTGGAAATAAGTAGTTGCGAATAGGGGTTTAGATTTATTTAGTCAAAAAACAGTAAAAACTGTATGCGACGTATGGGGGAGAAAATGTATGTGACGTATGGGGTTTCACCCGAAGCCCAGCAAGGGTCAGTCGCGTCGCGATATTTGAGAAAAGTCATTAAATTACATTAAGTATAAGATGGTCAAGGGCATCCCGGGAATATTTGGAAACTTATTCGAATAAATAAACACACAATAGTAATGATACTGAAGAGATGGAGAGCGCCGGACTTGGAAGTACAGCCGAGAAGAACGTATGTTAGCAGTAAGCTTACGAACATTATTTGAAAACCGGGTTGATCCTGGGTTTAGGGTGGCACCGTTCCATTTATGATTCATTATTTCTCATGATTCCCAAAGTTTATAGTTGCGGGTTCACTTCAATCACTGGTTGAGTGTTCGAGAATAATATACATTCATGTTATTCAGACAAAAAGTCAATTACTTAACCCATGAGCTCTTGAAAATTGTGTAAACGTATTGCAATAAATGTTAAGTTTGATTTTTAAAAGAGAAAAGGCTGATAATTGAGAATTGTTGCCATCAACTTAATAATGAATTAGTTTCGCAGAACTTCCAGGAATCATGATTTCGTATGGAATTCCAAGAACACATGCAGCAGGTAAGACGAGAAATGTATGTCGAACCCATTATTGGATATTAAAGCAAAGTTAATAATATTTCCAAATTGAAAAAGAAGTCCCTTTCTGTCTCCCACAGTGGATGAATATTTTTAAGAATATTATATAAAGGATATTCTCGCATTAAATACTCAGTTTTAGTGACTAGTTCTTTACATTGATTAAAAAATGAAATCAATATTACCAACAACGTTAAGTGGCATCTTCAAACTTGCTGCGCCATATATAGCTCCCACAACACAAGCTGCGCCTCCCATGTCAGCTCGCATTTCGTCCATGGCAGAAGCCGATTTGATAGAGATACCTCCACTATCAAATGTCACTCCCTTGCCTACACAAAAGAGCCAAAAGCTGAAGATTGGTGCCCTTGAAATAGAAGCTGTCAAGAAAATCAAGAACTTTCAAAATTTATACCAATAAGAACAGTCGGCTTTTCTTCTCTATCTCCGCCAGAATAAGATATTTCAAGAAACACTGGGGGTTCGTTTGAACCTTTAGCAACTGATAGGAATGAGCCCATTTTTAATTCTTCGGCCCATGCTTTATCATGAACACATACATCAACACCCAGAGGAGTTAAAACATCAACAGCATTCTGCAACATTTTGAAAGGGTAAGAACTCTTAGCACAAGAATTAACCTTGAATCCTACAGCATTCCAAGAAAAGGAAGAACTAGCATCTCATACATTCATCTATTTATTAACTAGCCGAATGATTAATCTCGTACATTCACAGATTATTTATCGAAAATCTGTCGAATCGAAGGTGACTTCTTGCCTACCAGCCTGGATTTGTGTAAAAATCTCGCAGTATGTTTTTCGAAAATGGTTATTTTCCATTGTAGGTTTCACCTTGAAATCTTTCGAAATAAAAAGGGATATTTTGATTTTGGGGATTTCAACTTTACATCGCATTACATTGCATTTAAATCAATAAAGCATGGTTACTTATAGAACGTTTAAGTATCCAAGCCTGTTGTCTATAAAAACAAAACTGAATTGTCTCTTTTGACTGACCATGAACTCGTTAAATTCAAGGGGTTCTCAGATGTTCATCCATCCAGGAACCCGAGGTGACTCGAGTTGTTTAACCCCCGTGACTTCACGGAGCCTAGTTAAGCAATTCGGCTATTAACGCCGGCTGTATCGTAATCGTGCGCCGAAAATCGGCGAAATGTCGACAGAAAAAACCTTATAGTCGTTCCCTGGTAACGGAAAATGGGATAAAAATCTCGTTCCGATATATTTTAAGTCAAGTGATATATTTTGAGTCAAGACCTTAAAGATTTCATGGCAGAGATTAAACCAGGGCAAATAATTTATCGTTCACGTTTACTAATTCACCGATAAGGACTACTTGCCAGATTCTTGTATCTAGAGGCTCTACTTACAGCATATCGATAGCGATTAGCACGCGTCGAGCAGGCGTCCAAACTTTTACATGTAATGTAAAAGGCACATGTAATTTCACTACTGTAATTGTGTAACTTGTCATTTCGAGTACTGAGAACAAATTTTGAGAACATTCTCATGCAAGTAAATTACATCAATTTTATTTAGTTACACATCAATTTAAGTATTTTGTATTTAGATCAAGTTTTTAATGATGCATACACAAGCACACACTTTAAATAGTTTTATGAAATGGAAGTTATATTGTCCCTTTATATCCTATAAATTGACTACTTGCTAATTTTTTCAATTTTATATATGAAAATACATGATGGGAATGATATTTCTTTTCCTTAGATTGCCCTTGATTAGGGGTTAGTTGAATCACATTATAATGCACATTATTTGAAACTATTGAATATTTGTTCAAATGAAGTTACGAATCTAAATTTTAAAAAATTAAGCAAAAAATAACACTTGTAAATACAGTTATGAAGTTTCTGATCTTTCTCTTTACAAAACAAATTAGGCAAAAAGGGTCACAATTCAGGTATAAAAATCACAAGCCAAAAGTTATAATAAATGAAATTACGCTCCAATACAAAAATGTCGACTATAATTACTTATGGTCTTTCTTCGATTTTTCAGGTAATAAATGAAGTGTTGTTGAACATACTTCCAAAATAAAAGGTGGCGAACATATTTCATTCTCACTGTCGAAATGTACAAAATGTAAGTATCATGTTAGAATAAAGCGTGCAGAAAAGGATAGTTGTAAGTTTAAGATAAGCTTGATATTAAGCCTCCCCCCCCCCAAATATATCTGTACCCAAATAATGCAGTGTATAAATATTAATGTAACAATGGAATTTTCAGGGAGACCTACTGGTTATTGATCCTAGTTTTGAAATAAAATCACTGATAGCCGGCCAGGATAGCCGCGGTCGCTAAAGCTGAAGGATGTTCCTCGTAGTTCCCACTATAATTAAAACAATCATACTGGTCGCTATATGAGAAAGTTGTTAAAAAGCGACCTTAAAAAAATGATATCACTGATCGAATTGTACTACTACAGTGACTGGAACTGATAAATGTACAACCATATAAGAATTATTATTGTACCGAAAAATCGATTGAAGGTAAAACATCTGTTCGTGGGCAAAAGTAGCACCTAAAAAGCGTTCAGCCGATTTCCTCCACCAAAATAATATTCTCGATCGTATTGAAGAAATTCGAGACTATCTACAATTAACAAAACCTGAGTAGTTTTCATTTAATTTCGCTTTAAATATAGACACGTTTTGAAAATTCATTTTCAAAATGACGGCTACAAATTTTTCTTTAATTTTTATCAAATAGCGAAAATTATGGTTATAAAAATGGCACACGTCCGACTTCAGTAAACCCTCAGTATTTTGGAAAATTGCAAAAATTAACATCTCAAAACTACAATACTGTGGACAGTTTTTATTTAATGAAATGTGTTCTTCAAAATAATGTCTTTAAGTAAGGTCATTAGTTTCAAGTAATTTTTCTTTTGAAATCGCAAATTAAAATTTCTCGCACTTCTTTTGCTAGAATTCTTCAGGTGAGTCCTTCAGGGCGTAATACGATAAAGGCAACACCGCGACAGGGCAGTGTGCAATTCTCAGAATAATTTCTCATCGTAGGGCGGTGTTTCCGGGTTTATGTAACGCGGTTTTCGATAGGCGAATTTGTATTGACGTATTGGTTTTATTTAGATTTAGTTTTCTTGCCTAATGTGCCACGATTGATAGAGTTTGACAAGTGATGCCTGAGAAGAACTAATATCGCCAGATATTGTTGTATTATAATTGTATATAACCGTTACTGTATCTGTTGCATACTATACTAAGGATTTACTTTCATCATTTACTATAAGTGAAAATCCTTTAACAGGGATATCTGAAGTATACCACTGTGTACTCGTTCTTGGTCATTACTACGTCGATTTATTAATTCCCTTCCCTAATAGAGCTTCGGAAATTTGAAACTTGATGTTTATTTTCAGTTCTCATGAAACTTTCGTGACGTCACATTCAATGTGATTATTGTATTAGGATGTACCTACATTGCAGATTTTAAGCAAATGTCTATTTAATTTCTCATCATACACAAGTGTGAGCGCCTGTATTTTCACTTTAAAGTAATATTTGAGTTAAAAAATTAAGATTTTACAATGCCTAAAAATGCCTATTTTTTGTCACTTTGGCCTTTTATCTAATATATCATATTTTCACCTAATTTGGATATTTTTTCAACATTTTTGTAATTATATTTTATTTTTTATATTTTGTATTTTCTTCAAACGACTGACACTATTATGAAGTAGTCGCGTGGGAACATCCCCAGAACATTTCCGATTACTGTCAAATAAAATATTAGTTCTACTATTCTTGAACTCACAGTACCTTTCTAAAGCATTTTTACCTGCTTTCCGATAAAAGAAAATCCGTTGTAGACGTTAACGTGGTTAAAATAGGTAGCATTGCTTGTGACGGAAGACTCTTGGAAACCCCACACGACCGTTAATTAGCTGAAAGAATAATATGCATTAAATGAACGATAATACACAAGTTTTCGAGTATTTTAGAAGTATTTGCATTTTTTATTAATAAAACCTAAATACATGTAAATACAACATTCTGGCTCCTAAAACATCCTTTAATAGCTTGAGAAACAGCATAATTACAATAGTCGAAGTCTATTTTAAGGTTTAAAACAGTTGTAGATCGGAAATGCAATGGTGAAAGAGCCTATTTTAGGCACCCAAAACGTTTTTAGCACATTAACTTCCGCAGACCCGCTATTGCATCATTTCACAGTATATTGTATTTTATTTAGCCCTATCCCTCCATATTTTGTTTATTGATGAGGACAGATGTAGTGCCTTGACGAGTGCGTTTATGTTCGGGACATTCCGAAAGGTCCCATTGCACTTTCATAGGTAGAGTCAAGCTAACTATGTACATTATCTGTATCTTAAAGGAATTGTTCAAAAAGGAACATGTGTATCAATCCGGCTATTTTGTTGAGATGCAGACGCAAACGGCAAAGCGCTCGCGGCCCCCCTCTTGCCCCCAAAGCTTCCAGACGCATTCATGGGCTGCAGCCGCCGCGACAGGCCGTCTCTCGTCTCTACTTGGCTGTCCGGGAGAACCCGCACAGGTGCCTACGTTTCGGCCTTCGTCAGGGCGAAATGCCTGAAGGTAGCAGAATGGCGGCCGAAACGCTGGCACCTGTGCCCAGGACGCGCCGCCTCCCGGACATAAGTAGCTAGTGACCCGGCCGCGGACGCCTAAGCTCTCCCGTCGTCCAAACGCCATACGAACTGGCTCCAATAATTACCTACTTGGTAAAATGTGCTATGCACAAACGTTAACAGTTTTTCGCCGTGCTTGCAATTGCTCTATAAACTCAGAATGGACTCGTTTTCCTGTGATTTTAGCATTCTGTGATGATTAAGGCTTAAAGGAGCTTTAAAAGCTAAGGTCATTGGCGCTCGTGTCAAACTATTTTAAGAGCAATATGCACTGTAGAAGAGCCAGACTAAAACATTTTTAATGCAAAGTAAAATGCCAGTAAAACTGAAAATAAACGTGTTCAATTATTTAAAAAAGGAGGATTGGCAGACAACCGGATAAACACTTTAAAATCTCCAATTAAAAGCCAAATAATTGGAATAATCCTCTTCTCTCAGATAATGCTGTACATGCCAGTTTCTCATAAGAACATAAAAATCTTACAGAGAGAAGATTCGTCATATCCAAATTCCTGTGCTAGACAGTTGAAGCTGTCGACTTGGAAACCCCACACGACCGTTAAAAGAATAATATGGATTAAATAAACGATAATACACAATTGTTTTCGTTTACCTTAGAACAGTGCAGGAGAACATTCTCCACGGCAAAACCCGTCTCGCAACTATCGCAAGCAGGGGTGGGTCACCACGAAGATGTCCATGGGAGACATGACAGAAACTGATATGAAGGCATGTCAAAATTATCTCTTCGCGCCTAGACCCACGAGATGAGGAAGACCGAGGGTTTAAGGAGTCCTTGGTTCTCGTGAATTTAAAATCGGATCCATCCCACTCTGTTTGCCATGCACTGAGAATACGTTTGATAAACAGCTTGGTATCATTTGTTGGGACTGTGAGAATGTCCACCTCTACCACACAC